TGGAAAGAGGGGTTTTGGTGGAGTGGTTGGGAAAGAGGTGTCTTGGTGGAGTGGCGCAATTGTTACTAGTGTTAACAGTGAAGACAGCTATTTTTTATCACGACACGTCGGGATTAGAGCATTGCGAGCTTGCCATCACGGGTGGATGACTGCCAGACCGCCAGATTAAGGTTTACTTTGAACGCAGTCAACTTATCACACGGCTTATTAACCCTTTTGTCCTAACATGCCTCTAAAAGTGGTGTGAATTTGACCTACTTATGGAAAACACAGGATATGGCATGAACATTTTCAAAGACGAAATATCCACATATGCAGCAATTAACTGAGAATGAACTTCGAAGTTTGTAATGTCCAAACAGTCAACAATACAAGGAGAAGCAATTGTTAAAGGTCTTGTTGTTCAACTAGTAAACAATACAAGGAGAAGCAATTGTTAAAGGTCTTGTTGTTCAACTAGTAAACAATACAAGGAGAAGCAATTGTTAAAGGTCTTGTTGTTCAACTAGTAAACAATACAAGGAGAAGCAATTGTTAAAGGTCTTGTTGTTCAACTAGTAAACAATACAAGGAGAAGCAATTGTTAAAGGTCTTGTTGTTCAACTAGTAAACAATACAAGGAGAAGCAATTGTTAAAGGTCTTGTTGTTCAACTAGTAAACAATACAAAGAGAAGCAATTGTTAAAGGTCTTGTTGTTCAACTAGTAAACAATACGATTATATGCAACGATGGGGTACCTAGCTGTCCAACCAATCAACAATACAATAATACACAACGATGGAGCGTCTAGCAGTTTATTGAAAACCTATTGATTTCAGGCGATGAAACAACGGTTTGTCAGCCGTCGAGGATATGGCATGACACTAATTAGGGGGTGAAGTGAAATTGCATATTGTATCATACATCTTCCAACCAGCGGTGATTTAGTATAGGACCTACACGAACATTGCTAGTTAAGTCCTAGATATGTTCTTGCCGTGAATCACGATTAGTGTACAACATGGACGTGCATTACTGATTCGACACAATATATTTTTGCAATGAATAAAATAGTATATGGTTGAAGAAACTGGCCGGGCTCTATGTTGATGTGACCCACATAACTCCAGGGTATATGCATAGCAGTGTACCCTAAAACAGTATTGATTGCCCCATTGTGCAGTCAATTACCTGGGAAGTGTACATATTCCTGAATGGCTGTATACAAAACGTGGAAGCGCGCGTCGGACGGCGTCAACAGACACCTACTGTTCATAGAGTCGGCAGAGTGTCAGATATGGTACGCTGAATACAGAGACGGTCTCTTATATCCACCAAACACTGTGCTTGTCAACATGTGCCTTGTGTACATATACTATTCTATTGACAATACAACAGAGAAATCTGTACCGCGTCATTGAGTCCTATGCAATATTACACAGAGGCGGGGAGACAGGTCGTAGGCAAGTGCGTTTCTAAGAGGGAGTTATGTCACGGCCGGCTATTTAACTCCTCCCTGCTGTGTCGGGCTCACAGTGGACTGGCTTGCCTGACTGGAAGGTGAGACATACATCGATACTGTTGATTCTAGCTGATAGCTGCAAGGGTAACTCTACCCTGTATACATATGTGTATACATAGATATTCAGTATTTGAAATTTTAAAACTCAATTTACTGTTGTTTTTATCAAAGTGTACCAAGGCTGGTATGAACGAACGTTTCGATCACATCTGTCGATTATGAAAATGAATCTTAACATACATCTTCATGTCCGTTGTATTTATACATAAAATGGTGGTTGTACACTAATGTATGCGCGTGTCTCTTTGACATGAATATGGGTTTATTAAGAGGTACCCATAATGTATGCACGTGGGTGTATGAAGTTGCTAGTGATTTTGTTTAGGGTTAGCACCCTTCGCGCGTGAATATATAAGATTGCTAATGAGTTTAATATGAATTAAATACGTTTAATATTTAATTAATGAGGCCTAATACCCATAATGTTTATATTGGTTCTTGGGTTTATTAAGGGGTAGAATATGTCACGTATGCACGTGGGAGTCTATCATGGCTCATGTGTTTATTAATGTGCAGTACCCTTACTGTTTTCACGTAGTTATCTGAAATGACTACCGTATTATGTATATGAAGGGGTGGCACCCTCACTGTATGCACGAAGGCGTTTAACACAGCTAATGGGTTGTATGGGGTATTAAGTACACACACCACTGTGTTTGGTAGGTATCAGATCGTTATCTGTGTAAGCACATATAGCACCATTGTAGATAGTATCGCATACTTTTGTGTTCTTACAAATAACCGTTCACCTGCCCCATTAAATAATGTCAATGTCTAAGAGTTAGTCCGAGTTTGCGATCCCTCTACCACTTCATGAAGGGTAAAACAGGCTAGCAGTACAAACATTATTCGCTTTTCTTAACGAATATCTTTAGTCCTGTCATACTGTATAAGTACAGGCGTGAAGTCATAAGCCTTAATCAGTGCTAATATGCACACATCATTTCATAAGTTATTTATACACTTAACCATTGTATAAACATTGTATGAAATGTTCTGTGTTAGTTTAAAGTGCTACAAGCTTCTCATTATCAACTGTAGTTGCGTTATAACCAGAGATTGGACCCTTCTAAAGCATCGACGTAAGACCTGGGTTTATACTTAATTATCATGTAGTACATGTGTTATCAACTTTTCATATGTACGTGCACTGCTGCAGTCCCCGCCATGTTCCGCTCGATCTGTGTGCCCCAGTCACTAAGTCGTTCACTCAATAATCAATTAATCTGCTTAGTCGTTTAATCCGTGGTTACTAAGCCAGGGACACAGGGGGGCATATACTTGGGCCTGGTGGTCAGAGTACCACCTCTTGTGGGAAACTATTGTGTGGCGAGTCCACGTGTCCCCAGTTCCCTACAATATTCACCACTCTGTATCCAGCTCCCTACACTATTCACCACTCTGTATCCAGCTCCCTACACTATTCACCACTCTGTATCCAGCTCCCTACACTATTCACCACTCTGTATCCAGCTCCCTACACTATTCACCACTCTGTATCCAGCTCCCTACAATATTCACCACTCTGTATCCAGCTCCCTACAATATTCACCACTCTGTATCCAGCTCCCTTCAATATTCACCACTCTGTATCCAGCTCCCTACAATATTCACCAGTCTGTATCCAGCTCCCTACAATATTCACCACTCTGTATCCAGCTCCCTACAATATTCACCACTCTTTATCCAGCTCCCTACAATATTCACCAGTCTGTATCCAGCTCCCTACAATATTCACCACTCTGTATCCAGTTCCCTACACTATTCACCACTCTGTATCCAGCTCCCTACAATATTCACCAGTCTGTATCCAGCTCCCTACAATATTCACCACTCTGTAGCCAGCTCCCTACAATATTCACCACTCTGTAGCCAGCTCCCTACACTATTCACCACTCTGTATCCAGCTCCCTACAATATTCACCACTCTGTAGCCAGCTCCCTACAATATTCACCAGTCTGTATCCAGCTCCCTACAATATTCATCAGTCTGTATCCAATTCCCTACAATATTCACCAGTCTGTGTGCAGTTCCTACAATATTCACCAGTCTGTATCCAATTCCCTACAATATTCACCAGTCTGTGTCCAGTTCCTACAATATTCACCAGTCTGTATCCAATTCCCTACAATATTCACCAGTCCGTGTCCAATTCCCTACAATATTCACCAGTCTGTGTCCAGTTCCCTACAATATTCACCAGTCCGTATCCAATTCCCTACAATATTCACCAGTCCGTATCCAATTCCCTACAATATTCAATAGTCTGTGTCCAGTTCCTACAATATTCACCAGTCCGTATCCAACTCCCTACAATATTCACCAGTCTGTAGCCAGTTCCTACAATATTCACCGGTCTGTAGCCAGTTTCTACAATATTCACCAGTCTGTAGCCAGTTTCCACCACTGTGTTGGCCGTGTCTGATGATGTGGCATCGGACCCCGACGGTGTGAAGTGTTGCTGGTGCTAAGAACCATCGGTATCGGTAGCCCTGACTTACTGACGCAAAACAGCCGTAATATGTCCTGCCTACGGCGTAAAACAACATTTTTCTTCTCGTGTAATCAAGGACTGCCAAGGCTTCTTCTCATTTGTTGTTTGGAGTAGGTGTTAGGAGCAAGTATCCACGTCACTTGATGCAGTCTCGGATGCTGTTGATAACGGCATCAAACCCAACTCACTCTCTCCCTCACTCACCCCCGAACATAATTGCAGTATTGCATTGGTCATGATTTACAGAAAATAACGAACAATTAATGTGCCCCTGTTGAAGCTGGTCGGCACCGAGTGGGTCGGACCGGCGAGACCCTGGTCTCCATGGGGATTATCTCACGGCAACCTTTTTTTCACACGCATGTCACAGAAGGTGTTGTTTGGAAGAGAATGATTTTTTAATGTAATTAGACACCTAGATTTCATGACAAACAACATTACCCGCTCGTGTGTCAGTACGTCATGGGCTGTGTGTGCCCGTCCACCGCTGTAGATAGACCGTGCGTTGAGACAACTATGAGTTGATATCGGTAGCAACAGCGCCGGTGGGAGCTCCACACAGACTCTACAATGATTACTGAGAACATCCGCCATATTTATCGGAAACCTAGTCAGATAGCCCTCTCTTAAAGAGTATGTTTTATTTCTGAGTCAATAACTATCTGAGTTCTATTGAAAGAGTGTCATCTTACTTGGTATAGACACGCGACAGTCAGGGAAGGCTACATTGGGTGAGCGTCACTAGGGCGATTAAGGGCTAAAGACTCCCTTCCACAAAGCGATCGTAGCGCTACGAACGTCGTAAGTCTACGTTAAAGTATGGGAGCTACGATCACTATAGCGCTACAATCGCTTTGTGGCACTGGACCCTTGTGTTGGTCACCGTAGGTAGCGTGGGAACAGTCGTGAGATTACTCCTCAACAAGTATCGTGTCTTCCTCAGATTCACCTGTTTTTCATCATTGGAGTGAATGGCCCGAGCGTAGACCAGTTGACGCCAGCTCTCATCCTCCTCACCGCCCCTACACTAGCATCGGCATCCACCGCGTCCCCACCCCCTACCTAGCAGTACCAGGCGACATCGAAGACAGACCCGAAACTGTTCACCCTGGGTATGCGTTTGGCGGTCAAGAGGTGAGCTATGCATGTATTCAAGCGTGCAAGTTGAAGTGGGAGGAAAGTTCGAAGTGATGCTAGTCTTAGACGGTTTACCACTTGGAGACACCAATGACGACGGATATGGTGCTACCAAACCTAGAAACATAATCAGGGCGACCCGGGATTCGAACCCACGATCAACGGTTTCTGTTATGTCTAAGGGACGTAACTCTGCATAGCGAATTGCGGAGCCTTATATGATTGGGCCACCCGTGTCCCCCTTATATATTGTCGCGATGTTTATGTTTGTGACATACATAAATCCTTGTTATCTCGAGGTCCTAGGAACTAGCGGTAATATGTCGAGTAATCCGTATTTCGAGACGTGCGGAGTATCGTTAATAAGACTATTTGTCGGGACCATGGTGTAACTTCGTCGAAAATAATATATCGGATTAAAGCAAATTCACTATAATTGGTATAATTTATATGTTAATGTTATAGGCAGATAGGGGAAATAGTCACGTTATCAGTAAAAGGTCATTCAATGACATTTACAAGTTGCATCGTTTTATTGCGGTTTTATTATAGTCTTGTTTATTATCTGCATGTCAACTTCTTTAAAATATGTCAAACACGCATCCGTGTACCCTAGCATTTAGAGAGACATGTACCCACCTCATAATGGTAGGTTCGAATCCTGGCTCGCCCCGGTTATGTTTCTAGGTTTGTTAGTACCATACCCATGCTCGTGGGTTTCACCAAAATGCTTATGGTCTAAGACATTCGTCACTTCGGGCTTTCCTCCCACATTAAGCTGACACGCCATGTTAGAACTGGAATACTGTTCAAAGCGGCGTTAAATCCAACTCGCTCACTCATAAACCCCTAATCTATTTCACTGATGCACTCAGGAGTTATAATATTGGATGCCAAGACAAATAAAGTGTTATGCCGGATGCCTATATTGAGGGGTGGCCTGGGATGGCACCCTCAGTAACTGTCGAGTAGATGTCAGGCAGCACTGACCCTATGTCCTATTTCCTGCAGGTACTAGAGAAAGGATCCCCACTGACGTATGTGCCTGAGCTGAACTCCTGGGTCACCAACGCCTCCACAGACTACGGTGAGTCAGTAGGGAAATCCATCCACGCAGACAGATGGCATCAGGTGTGGAGGGGGCAGTAGGCAATAATTATGCTGTAGATTTGTTTTCCATAATAGGTCAGGATACTATTGCAAAAAGCTGAATTAGCCGTGGCCCTTGGGAGCTAGCGTAGGGGTACTATTACGAAGGCTGTCACTGGCCTTGTGTGGCCTTGCGTTGGGCCTTGGGTTTGTATCGGGCCTGGTGTGTCTCTTGGGTTTGGCCTTTTGTATGATATGCAGCTTACATATCCCACGTTTTCTTGACGCGGAAACAACACTCAGGTTTGTATCATCCAAACCGTGCTTCCACGGGAGATATTCCTTGTTGATGCCAAATTACAGTCCAGCTCGGCAGTATCTGGCCTGCCTTCATCCCGTTGGACAAAGACCATTAAAACCTTTTTGACGCCAAATACAAGTCGTGATTAATTTGTAACCGTGGATCATTAAGTAGAGGTGTTATCAATCACTTGGAACTACCTGGGTCACTCGGCCTGATGGGAAGTGTAGGGTATTGATCCCTGCCCCCGGAGACCGTCCTGGCAACGGCCTGGGTCAGATGCAGCCATTAGCTGGTACCGGGAGGAGATATAATATATATATACAGTAAGGGTATATGTTAGATCATGTTGGGAGGTGTTATCCTGATTGTGTATTTATATCTAAGATAAGGTTAGACTTGAAGAAACATAAAACTTTGACTTCGTTGAACTTTGGAGGTAACTCTTGGTCACAATCTTCTGTTTTTCAGAGAAGACTTCTGCCTGTACAGTGAGCAAGACGATGAACCGTGGAATGTCCTCGTACCAGCGCTCCCGGAGTATGTCCCCGATGAGGACCCGACCCTATTTCGGCCGCGCCCTGACCCAGACGGATGGGCTGTACTACCCCCAACCGGAGAACCTCTACGGTCAGACGTGGAACCCCTACAGCAGCGGCTTCAACCACGGGGAGAACGTCTCCGGCATGGCCAGACACCTGGAAGGGTAAGGCACCTGTGTGTTGGGTGGGTGGGGTGGGGTGGGGGAGTGGGGGGGTGGGGGGTGGGGGTGGACTAACACTGATGGAGCATAGTGAGTAGTAACATAAGATCTCTACACAGAGGTGAGGCACTTTGGTGGAGGCTTAAGGCCTGCAACTGGAGGGGTAAGGCACCTACTTCGGTGAGGGACGGGGGAAGTGGTCAAGGTCTACACCGTTGCTGTACACACAGATACCGGAAGGGGTAACATAAGAACGATACACCTGTACCTGCTTGATCGTTTCACCTGATACAGGTGATACACAGATTTCAGGTCCCGTTGCTACTTGTCATTCAAACGATACACTATAAACGAGTTCAGGATCTGCTCCATATGTACCATGTGATACACAGATTTCAGGTCCCGTTGCTACTTGTCATTCAAACGATACACTATAAACGAGTTCAGGATCTGCTCCATATGTACCATGTGATACACAGATTTCAGGTCCCGTTGCTACTTGTCATTCAAACGATACACTATAAACGAGTTCAGGATCTGCTCCATATGTACCATGTGATACACAGATTTCAGGTCCCGTTGCTACTTGTCATTCAAACGATACACTATAAACGAGTTTAGGACCTGCTCCATATGTACCATGTGATACACAGATTTCAGGTCCCGTTGCTACTTGTCATTCAAACGATACACTATAAACGAGTTCAGGATCTGCTCCATATGTACCATGTGATACACAGATTTCAGGTCCCGTTGCTACTTGTCATTCAAACGATACACTATAAACGAGTTCAGGATCTGCTCCATATGTACCATGTGATACACAGATTTCAGGTCCCGTTGCTACTTGTCATTCAAACGATACACTATAAACGAGTTCAGGATCTGCTCCATATGTACCATGTGATACACAGATTTCAGGTCCCGTTGCTACTTGTCATTCAAACGATACACTATAAACGAGTTCAGGATCTGCTCCATATGTACCATGTGATACAGAAATTTCAGGTCCCGTTGCTACTTGTCATTCAAACGATACACTATAAACGAGTTCAGGATCTGCTCCATATGTACCATGTGATACACAGATTTCAGGTCCCGTTGCTACTTGTCATTCAAACGATACACTATAAACGAGTTCAGGATCTGCTCCATATGTACCATGTGATACAGAGATTTCAGGTCCCGTTGCTACTTGTCATTCAAACGATACACGATACACGAGTTCAGGACCTGCTCCATATGTACCATGTGAAACACAGATTTCAGGACCCGTTGCTACTTTGTAGGTATCATGTCATTCAAACGATACACGATACACGAGTTCAGGACCTGCTCCATATGTACCCTGTGATACACAGATTTCAGGACCCGTTGCTACTTTGTAGGTATCATGTCATTCAAACGATACACGATACACGAGTTCAGGACCTGCTCCATATGTACCATGTGATACACAGATTTCAGGACCCGTTGCTACTTGTCATTCAAACGATACACGAGTTTAGGACCTGCCCCATATGTACCATGTGATACAAAGATTTCAGGACCCGTTGCTACTTGTCATTCAAACGATACACGAGTTCAGGACCTGCCCCATGTGTACCATGTGATACAAAGATTTCAGGACCCGTTGCTACTTGTCATTCAAACGATACACGAATTCAGGACCTGCTCCATATGTACCATGTGATACACAGATTTCAGGACCTTTACGTTCTCCATGTTTCAGCGCCACGCCCATGGCTAACTACACCATGTATCCCCAGTCCGCCAGGGAATCCAGACCCATGGGCCGCTACAGACGCAGAGCATCCTTCAGCAAGGACTACGTCCATGATCTCAGCTGCTTCCAGGTACGGCGACCTTGTGCAGTCAATACATCCTTCAATCAATTAAATATTATCTTATTCCTATCAATCAATACGTCGTGTTCCCTATCGTGTTCAATATAAAATGTTCCTATTAATCAATACGTCGTGTTCCCTATCGTGTTCAATATAAAATGTTCCTATTAATCAATCAATAGTGTACCTTTCAGTCAACATAATTATCTTTTAATCAATATATCTTGTTCCTTTCGGGTGCTTGTGAATTGTAGTTTTGTGTTCCGAAGATGCTGTAGTTTTAAAATATAATGTTAAGTCCAAATGTGATTTATCACTCATAAAGTCCCTTATCTCATGATCGGTCGGAAATCTTGTTCCTTTCGGGGGCACGGATGGTCCAGTGGTTCAAGGCGCCACAATTCGCTGTGCAGAGTTGCGTCCCTTGGGCACGTGGGAAACCTATGATCGTGGGTTGCTAGGCTTCCCCGATTATGTTACTAGGTTTATCAGCACCATACCCGTGCATTGGGTTTCGCCAAAGTGGTAAACTTCTGAGACCTGCATCACTTCAAGCATTCCTTCCACAACAAGTTTAGTATTGTTTCCTTGTCAACAAAAAGTGGGATATGTAAGCCGCATATCATACGAAAGGCCCAACCCCAGACGATAAACCAGGCCCAATACAAAACCCAACTTACTCACTCACACAAGTGAGAGTACAATACCGTTTGTGCCGAGACTATGCACATTTACAAATATAAACGTGAATATGCAAGGGAGAGAAAAGTCGGAAGTGAAGAGTACTGCTGTAATACGTGTATCCTGAAGACGTTTATCATGATATGATCAAGGGGGGCACTAACATCGTATTCACAGCAGGGGCTATATCGGAATGCATCCACTGCTGTCTAGGTCGGTGGGGTAGCCAAGTGCTTGAAGCATGAGATCGTCGCACAGAACGTCCTTGGTCTAGAGTCAATGTGTTAATCCCAGGTCTGGCGACCCCGACGTGATATTGCACGAGTAGTAATAAAACCTGCATAAAAACAGTCACTCGCAAATCTCTGTCAAACTAAACAATGTACATGTCTTGAGGACGTTCCAATCTAAATGTTTCTAAATGATTCCTTGGCCAATCATTTGGGTGAAAGAATAATATTTATTTTTTTCTTGACATTTAACCATTCCCTTCCAGTCGACACAGCCAATGGTGACCGGTCACTTCATCATCCACCCGGACTGGGTGTCCGAGCGAATGACCCCCCGGAGAAAGCAAACCAAGAAGAACCAGTTACAGTATTAGCCCCGCCCAATCAGCAACACCCGGTTCTCCACGCCCAGCATAGGGGGCGGGCCAACCTCGGTGTTCAAGAGTTGTGATATCACGCCTAGTCTACAACCATGCGAATCTAATTTATTTTTAACCGAGGAAATAAATAATTACTTCTGAAAAAACACTGTTTTTTATAACAATATCTGAGCTTTGTAATTCATCCAGTGTATCCATGCTTGCACCAGCATCACCTGGCCTATATACTCCCGCTGTTATCGATCTATAACATTACCAACTGACTTTGCTCAAGGGTTTCATAGCTATAGCACTGTCATCGCCCGGCCTCAGCTCCACTGCACGGCTGCCCGCTCATTCTGCCAACACGGATATCTAGGGTGTACAATGGAAGAAGTCTGTTCTAATGAGTTTACTAGTATAACACATTAAAATGGTAAGAGTCAAGAGAAGTTTAAGTTTAAACTGGACGATATTCTTCAAAGGACGGAGAAGATTTTGTATCATATGTGCTTTTTTCTATAAGAACTTGCCAAAACGAAAACTCCCTGCTATTGAGACGCACAGTCACATGTAATCCGAGAATAGGGCGTTCAGAAGAAGAAGGTCCTCCAGATAAAGGCGATCAGAGACATGGCGCCCTTTTGACAAAGACGTTCAGAAACAAATTAGCACAGTGGCACAATGTCAATCCAAACGTGTTACTATTAACTGCGTCACTCCCATATACTCGAGGGATAATCTGGGATTTTGTTGACGTTACACCTGCTGCACACTAGATCCTCCTGAGGGCAGGGTGGGTGGGCACCATTTCCTGTTGTCACACTTCACTTTGTTGTTTCCTGTGTCTGAGATGTCAGAGTTTACTGTCAGTATTACTATATTTGCCTCTACAGTATTGCATGAATATTTGTTGGTGTTTTTTGTACAAATTACCAATTTGTGATAAATGAACTTTCTTGCATGAAAATAACAAATTGTTATAATTTTTTATTCATTCTTTTTTAATATCAATAAAATGTAATTAGCACAATAGAGGTATTGTTTTTTATCCATCGATTGTCTATCTTTGAGAAATCAAAGTCAGACCATATATGGTAGGACTGCCGAACTTGCCTTGACGGAAACATGATGATGGTTTATCCCGTGTTGCTGTCCTGGTTGGAATATTAATTAACGAAGTTGTCTGTTGATTGCCAGTGTTGTTAAGATTGGCTAACCTTGTGGTTAAGATGTTGGCTCGTCTCATGGAAAACCCGGGTTGAAATGTCAAGGTGACATGTTTGGTGTGCCAGCACCTTCTGTCTGGAACATCAAGGTGTCATGTTTGGTGTGCCAGCACCTTCTGTCTGGAACATCAAGGTGTCATGTTTGGTGTGCCAGCATCTTCTGTCTGGAACAGCAAGGTGTCATGTTTGGTGTGCCAGCACCTTCTGTCTAGAACATCAAGGTGTCATGTTTGGTGTGCCAGCACCTTCTGCCTGAAACATCAAGGTGTCATGTTTGGTGTACCAGAATCTTCTGTCTGGAACATCAAGCTGACATGTTTGGTGTGCCAGCACCTTCTGTCTGGAACATCAAGGTGTCATGTTTGGTGTGCCAGCATCTTCTGTCTGGAACATCAAGGTGTCATGTTTGGTGTGCCAGCACCTTCTGTCTGGAACATCAAGGTGTCATGTTTGGTGTGCCAGCACCTTCTGTCTGGAACATCAAGGTGTCATGTTTGGTGTACCAGCACCTTCTGTCTGGAACATCAAGGTGTCATGTTTGGTGTGCCAGCACCTTCTGTCTGGAACATCAAGGTGTCGTGTTTGGTGTGCCAGAGCCTTCTGTCTGGAACATCAAGGTGCCAGGTTTGATGTGCCAGAGCCTTCTGAATGGAACGCCATGGATGCTGTTTTTCGTGTGTCAGCACTTTCTGACAGGTATGCGGAGGCGATGTGTTTGGAATTATAGATATATTGAAATGTCCCCAGTGCCTCTAGACTCAGTGTTCGCATACCTACATTGCAGGGACTAGAGTCATCAGACCCTGTAATAACATTTTACAAACTATTTTCATCATTTCTCTTTGTGAAAAAAGAGCCACATGGCCACACTTGAAGCAAAGGGTATAAAGAAGTTGCAGCAAAGTCAATACACTACACACAGAGACATGCATAACTCACTAGAGGACCAAACTTTCATTGTTTTCATGTCACCGTGGTACTTTAGCAGCCACATTGGTGCAAGGGGGTCACAGGTTGTACCAAGTCTCACAATACAACGACAGCAGAATATGACATGATACTGAGAGTATGGCACATGAAATTTTCAATATGTCGGCAATTAACAGCAAGTACAGAAGCTTGGTCCAAAATCATATTTTATGACAGAACCAGAGAAATTGACAACAAATGACATTGACAAAAAGGCAAAGCTCAGACTTCTGTGAGCATGTTTTGGAGACACCATTGCTAGGATGATATTCCAGAGTTTCGCCGAGATGTTGAACATGTTGTACATAAAGATGAATGGGGGTTTGCAAAGATTTGTAAAGCTGGATGATACCATCAAAACATCCCAAAACATCTTATAGTATCCAGCTTTGCATAGACTAACTACATCTCACATTTCTTAATGATACAAGCAGAACGTCCGAGTGAAGGGGAAGATGACAGATAAGCTGCCGTCACTGCGTAAAATATGCAAAATACATCACCATTACCGAACTAATTGTGAGAAGCTTGCGCACAAATTCGCATGAAAACCTTCAAAACCTCAGTAGTATAACACTTGAATTTCCCAATGTAGCCTTTTCAAATTGCGTACGTTTATTTATTTACATACCATTATTTACTGCTTGAATGTTGGCATCTCACGAACTCGTTTGTTGTGAAACAGATATGTTGGTGTTCTGTTTGTTGTTTAACGCCGCACTCAACAATATTCCAGCTATATAATAAGCTATATAATAATCGAGAATGGACCAGACAATCCACTGATTGACATCATGAGCATCGATCTACGCATTTGAGATAGGATGACATGCATCAACCATGTCAGCGAGTCTGACCACCCGATCCCGAAAGTCACTCTTACGGAAAGCATGGGTTGCCGAAGACCTATCCTACCCCGTACCTTCACGTTTTTAAGTAGCCATGTACAATGTATTTCCCTGTTTATGCGACACATAAACACACTTGGGGCAATACACGAATAGACACAAATTAGATGTAATCTGAAACATCATTTTAAGCAGAATGCGCCATATATTGCAGCTGAGATTGTTGTTAGTTGACTTGCAGTGACTGTCAGTGGCGGAAAATGATTGAAGCTCTACTAAAATGTTGCCTGCTGTCGGCGGCAACGAGTGACTGGAATTTAGAGTTTTCAGGTGGCTGACCAAGGCCGTAGTGAACTTTGTGTGTGTGTGTGTGTGTGGGGGGGGGGGGGGGGGGGGGGGGGGAATAAACTGTTTTCTATAAAATAAAAAAAACACCCCTCCCCCGGCGGCTGGCTACGGCACTGCTGACAATATCCATATATGAGCGGACCCTTTTAACCTGAGTTGCGTCTTATTTACTTTCCAAGTACGGATTGGAACAAGCGCTTATCCAGATTATGAATTACAACCCTCTTTCTAGACTTACACTTAATAAAGTAAAAACCATGTGACTTATTGCTGCTGCCACTTATTTGAACCACTGAAATCCATTTTTATTGGAAACACGAAACTTTGTTTGATATAATTTGTCGATCTATTATTAATCTCGTGTCGTCATTTACTGATTTCACAACTTATTTTTGTACGAACCGATTTCTTGGTTAACTTTTGTGTTGCAATTTAGAAACCACCGCGTAACAGCAACTGAGGCTCATTCGGGATCTGAATAAAATGTGTTGAAAATTCTACATTGTTCAAAGCTACTTTTGCAAGTGTTCGTTGCCCTCATTGCCTAACAAGTGATTATTGTGTAATCAGTATCTGTAATGTTGGGGTCACGGTCACATTTCAGTTCCGTAGCCCGGGTGTCGGGGCAGTTGCCTCCCCCCCTTGATTTTTTTTTATTATAGCAAACAGTTTTATTTGAAATCATGAAAAAACAAGTTGGGGACAAGTGATACTTGTACAGGGTTTTGAAGAAATCAGATTTCTAGATTAGCCTTTCAATTTTGAGATCACATCTAACAAATGTTGGAGTAAAAATACACATTAAACTGGACCCAAGGCAGTAAAAACATATTTAATACCAAAAAAAACCAATCAATACTCAATGGTGTATTATAACTTGTGAGTAAATACTTGCACTCATAGGCCCAAAAACTTATCTAGAGGACATCCTAACATGGCTGCCACGGCAGCTAAATGCATGATCAATGCATTCAGACACAGCATTTTTTTATCATATATTCAATTTCAGCTTCATTGGTCATGAATTGTGGTTTCAAAGATGCTGTACAAGTTTAGAATACAGACTCCAGTTCCTCCACTAAATAATCGAGCCTGGACCAGACAATCCTGTGACTGACATCATGGTCATCGAGCTATGCATTTGGGATACAATGACATGCATAAACCTAGTCAGTGGGTCTGCCCACCCATAAGTCGACTCTTAGGACAAGTATAGGTTGCTTAAGACCAATTCTAACATGGATCTTGACAGGTAGAAAAGAGATCGATTGGTGACGACAGACAATACCGATTGTCATGACCTGCTAAACTAACAAATCATTGTAACATAAAGGATTTTCTGAAAAAAACATATTTGTCTCATCCTTCCTCAGATCAAAATGGACGGTCCATAACCAAACATGTGAATATTGGGGTGCTACAGAGAAGTAGAATTCTCACTTGCATTTAGTAAAGAAGTGTTGTTTTACAGAGTAGACAGCAATATTTCAGCTATAGCACACTACGTCCTGGAAATAATGTGTCTGAGACAGGGAAACAAATGTTTGACAGCATGAACATCGATCTACACCACTGGGTATCCACGACAACAATCAGCCAGCATACCACCGACTCTTACAAAAAGTATCATGAATATGATGTAATGGGGGGATAGTCTGCTCTGGATCTCCTGCTGCGGTACACAGAGGGGCCACTATGTTTATGTACTCAGCATGTGGCAATGTTGTTGTTTGTTTGTTGTTTAATGCCGCACTCAGCAATATTCCAGCTATATGACGGCGGTCTGTAAATAATCAACTCTGGACTTAACAATCCAGTGATTGACATCATGAGCATCGATCTACGTAATTGGGATATGATGACATGCATGGACCAAGTCAGTGAGCCTGGCTTCTCAATCTGTTAGTTGCCTCTTACGACAAGCAGAGTCGCCTCGTAGGCAAGCAAGGGTAGCTGAAGACCAATTCTACCCCGCGTCTTCACGGGTCACATGTAGCAATGATTACCATTACCACTATCAGCTAATGTCTGGCAGATGAAAACACCGCAGTCATATAGCTGGATTATTGCTGAATGTGGCATTAAACAACAAAAACAAACAAACAGACAAACAAACAGAATGAAACCCCCGAACAACAATGCACAAGTACCAGTATTTTATTCAATTTTGTATAAATTAAAAGCAACAAGAATAACACATATCACAAAACTATGTTATAAAGATATCACTCTGTTGACTCTCTTGCCCATGGCTTTCAATGAAGTGAGACAAAAGCTTCAGAGGGGGGATAGAGGATGCTCTGCATCACATATAGGCACTGGTGGAGTGGCACCTTCACCCTCCTGATAACACCACAAGGGAATGGTCTAAATCATACATTAATTCCAACAGGAATGACTCTACCATGTATATGAAACATAACATGCTTTACATAATTCTATTCCAGCAAGAAACTGCTCTCTAGATACAGTAAACTATGGTTGTAGCAAACACAGCTACAACAAACTTACAGATATAAAGAACTGTTTTTGAGTCCATTTGCTGTATATATGCTTATAACGAAGTACTGTTATAACGAACTAAAATTGGTGGTCCCTTTGAGTTTGTTGTAACCGTAGTTTACTGTATATGAAATATTGTATGTGATGAATCTTCCTTCCTTCCAAAAGGTCAGAGCACAGTGACAGTTAGTTAATACAGTGTTTGCAAAATACTTTTCTTCTTGCCTGAAACCATCTCTTGGAATCCCTTTGTAAGGGATTTTATTAAATTTATGGACTATTTTGAACTGACCTTTGTAGACTCAAAGACATTTGACAAGACTAGTGGTTAAAGATGTATACTGCTGTTATGAATGTCAAAACTACTCAACACCCACTCAGAGGGATAACCTGCCTGACACTTTAAGACAGCAAGATTTGTCTCCCCTTCCACGAAACCCCCTGTCACCTGTTCATCCACTGCTGACCCTACAATACCAACATCATCCAGGTAGACCAGACATACAGGAGAAAGAAAACTGAAAGTGTCAAACTATCAAAATAAAAATACATGTGGTAAATAACAGAGGTAAATGCTACAAAAGGATTATGCACAAAAAGGTAATTTACTGCCTGAGATATGACAAGGATGACAACCCTCCCGCCCATACAAACAGGCACTAGAAGGACATGCTGGATGCTTTACAAACATTTCCCATTTATTATATCACAACAAACAAGGCCTGCACACAGTCGCCATCTTGTTTGTGTGGCCCAACACACAAACACAGCCCTGGAGCTCAACAGTCATGCTGACATTGATGGACAACATTTCAACTCCACATAGCAAAAGGAAATTATGAGACCTTCAAACTCCTACACTTAACAAGTTAATACCATTGGCAGAATACAAAAAATGATGAAACAGGGGAAGCTCTTGGGCAAGTACTGTTGATAGGTGTTACCATGGTTACTGCTACAAAGGCCCTGGTTGCATCTTAAACATTAGGCTTTATGATTGACAAACTTATGTTTTTAAATGATTGACATTTGATGAACACAGTTTGAGATAAATGACAGAACATTGGTCCACATCGCTCTCCTCCAACTACCAGATGCCAGCCACAGTCACGCAGTAGGCTATATCTTCTGCAGTATTCGGTTCTGTTTGATCTTGGCCTGTCTCTCCTCCATTTGTGTCTGAACTTTGTCAGGAAGTCCTGGTTCCGTAAAGTAGTCTACAAATGAAGTACACACATCATAAAGGGGACTACATATAAAGTACATACACACATCATCAGGGGTCTACACATTTCTAACATTTCTATTTGGACGGAAATATAAATGTTATTTCGCCATGTTTTCACCACAAATGCTGCAACTGTTCAGGGCAGTCTCAAAGAGCAGAGGTCTTTTTGACAAAACTGCTAAGAAGATGCTGCATACAGGGTTGTTGACTGTCATTACTGCTTGTTCAACTTATATCAACCAACTGTGACCAGATATGACAATGTACCCAGTCAAGTGCTGATTTAAGGTCAGGGGGCACGGGTGGCCTAGTCGTCTAAGGCGCCGCGATTCGCTGTGCAGAGTTGCGTCCCTTGGGCACGCCAGAAACCTATGATTGTGGGTTCGAATCCCGGTTCTCCCCAATTATGTTTCTAGGTTTGTCAGCACCATACCCGTGCTCGTGGGTTTCACTGAAGTGGTAAACGTCTGAGACCTGCATCACTTCGGGATTTCCTCCCACATTAAGCTGACACGCCGTGATATAATTGGAATACTGTTAAAAGCGCCGTTAAACCCAACTCACTCACTGATTTAAGGTCATGGTTTACAGTATGTACAGTGACACCAGCATGACCTGTTAAAAATGTGTCAGTGTATAAATGAGAGCAAGGGACACTCACAAGGGATGCATTTTTCACATTAATTTCGTTATATAAAAACTAAAGAGTGTGTGTTTCCGACACTGAGTCACATGCACACTCATCTCCCTTTCATTTATAGCTTTAGCCATTGGATCTCAGGGTCAGTTGTGTTTTAGATTTCTCTCCTCTCAACTGTTTCCTTCACTCTTTACATCTCTCACCTGCAGCAAATTCCCGGATATTGTCAGGCCTCTTCTTCAGAACATCACTAGAAACAAAGAATCAGATCTAGCATTTATTAACACGATACATTCACTGGGAACACCTTCACTACAGTCAACTGTGACAAATGATTTGAGTATGTTCTTTATATCAGGATAAATTCAGACATTCAGTTGTAAAACTTAGGAACATTCTGTTTTTGTTTCATTGGGAGATGGATAAATCTCGCGAGAGAGAGAACATGATAATGCAACAGCTACGAAAGTCTTAAGTCCAGGAGTATAGTTTAACATCACCAAATGTACCTATCAATAGTTCAATGAAGTGTCTTAACTTAATCACTGCAGCGAGTGAGTGAATGTTGTGTTATGCTACAGTTAATAATATCTATCTTTGCCACATGGCCTATAATGAATCAGCTCAAGCCAACCACTTATTGGTTGACAGCAGGAGGAACAATCCACACAATCAGGACATGTTATCACAGACACCATGAACACTATGTGATAAGCATGCATAACCATGGAAACATGGGACTTATGCTTTCTCAGAAATATGCATGGGGGAATCAATGCACTGACAGTGAAGATCATGAAGCTGTGACATTGAAGCAGGATAACGTCCTTACCCCAGGAAGCCAGCTAGCAGGCACTCAACCTCCGGGTGGTCGCGCAGATACTTCTCATTTGCCATCCTTGTCTGCACCTGCACAAAAAACAATTTATGTTTTAACTGTATTTATGTCCAGTAATACAGACTTCCCTCCCAAAGCATTGAATAATTGTAGAACTCCTTTGAACAGAACAAAGCACCAGTAATGACAATAGGCCTATATGGGAAAATATTTTGTTTTTGGACAAAGAAACAGATCGTAGTCAACAAATGGTCAAAAGGGCCACACCTCGAAACAGCCACAAACACATTGTTCACGATATAAAAGTAAACATTTCACATGTTTTATAGCTTTATGTATTTCAAAACAAATATCTTTGAGAGCAGATTAGGCATCATCATCATCATTTGTGCAGCACTAAGACTGTTCCATTTTAGATTTAATTTAAGTCATCACTGTGACAAAAAAAACATTCAGATTCAAATGGATAGCAATTCAACTGGACTAAGATGTCCGTCTTTGTTGAGACTTCAAGTTGTCTTTAAAAAAACAAACCACTCAACTAGGAATAGCTAAACAATCAATCAACTTTCCATGCCAAATTAAACAAGTTTACTAACATCATGTACATATCAAAACACTCAGTTGCGAACAAGTAATAAAACATACAACTGTATGGATAACAACTTCTGGTGTATTACATATAGCAACATTTCAATGTAGATTCTTACACCGTTATCAAACTGGAGTGGCTCAAGCAATTGCAAACAGTTTTGGTACATGTTGGTACAATTAGCAGGCATGATGAGCCTTTTCAAAGTATGTATTACAAAAGTCAATAATGATCAAAGGTCAATCAACACAGTTTTTAGGCAGCGTTAGAAATTGGCACTAGTCCCGTAGTCCTTGCCAAACTGCCCAATAGTTAAGGTATCATAAGGACTAGTAGAAATTTGCCATTTTTAAGGGTTTTGCTATATGTTATCATTATAAGGACTAGTGGACTAAATATGTTAGTTTCTACCCCTGTTTAAGTATACTTAAATCCTTTGGATTAATGAAATAAATACAGCAAACAAACAGAAAACAACACTATTTCTTCATGTTATCATTTTGACTGTTAAATGTGGTTGTTTTGACTTTCTCATGTTGTCATTATAACTTCGGTTTGCGACCATTTTGACTTTTTGATTTAACCATATTGACTATGCTGTCTTAGATTCTTTTGACATTTGGCCCATTTGACATATTCCCAAAGAACGTACCTTCTGACAATGCTGTTGAAATTATACCAGTGCTTCAATTAAAACCTTGTTTGAAGCCAGAGTATAGTATTTATAGTAACATTTATCTGTGTACGCTTTGTTCTAAGATCGTCTAACACTATTCCATATTCACATTTTGATCTCTGACAATGACATCGATGCAGAGCTTTTCATTTCAGAATTAACACGAATAAACAAAATATCGAGAACTGGTCGGTGACCAGTACTCATACATGTCATTGCAATAAATACATTTGTCTGGACAATTATGCTTAATTATTTCAACAAACATGTAAAGGGGACCTTCGCAACCAACGAATTTGGCAGCTTTGTTTTGATCGAAAACCGAACATTTTCTGAAAATCAACACGCTTATTCATTTCACTGAATAAAACGTTATTTCTATCAATACATAACCTTAAACTTGTTTAGTCTCTCCTGTTGCTCTGCGCTGAGGGCACCAAGATCCGAATTTTTACCCAAATCGTACGGTTCCATTCCGTGTGGTGCATTATGTTTTGGTTGGTCCGCCATTTTGAAATATTCCTTGACGATGAGTTCCAAACTCCTTCGCAGTGCCTGACTACTAGTCAGCGTAGTGGGAACGACACCTGGCGGCGCTGCAGTGGGTCCGCAAGCTTATAAACAGTGCTCTTTTTGGAGCGCCTCCTAACGGCGCTGCAAAGAAGCTTTGCCGTGTTTGCCGTAACAAGCAGCCTCAAGCTCAAGACATTAACTATTTATGAAATCGTAGCTTAGGTTGACATGGTGGGATAGAGTTCTATATAGATCTATGTCACGACGTTTCAGAGATACGTATTGCCAATTCGTCGTTCACCCGAACATTCGCCTGATGAAGGAACAAGAAGTATACCCCTGAAACGCAGTGACAAAGAATAAAAGAAGTTATCCATAAAATGTTATCCATATATGATATGTCTTAGATCTTCGTATCCGTGAAACTGTGGTTGCCGCAAATAGATTCGATGCAAATGACATAGGCTTCATACAAGTAATGACCTCAAATAAAAATACTTCCTTCAACACTGACCCCAAATTCCTTGTTTGACTTTATTGCCGTAAATTTAAGCTGAGCGCAGAAAGGATCACGTTACATGTTTACAACGCGCATTAGCATAACTTAAAGAATGCTTTGGAACTAGGGAAAAGATTGCCTAGATATTGAATGTCTGTACAGACTACCCTTTTGTTGGGCAAGACCGGTTTGGCCAGAAAATGCGGAAGAGAGTCGTTAAGAAGCTTTTGTAAAACACTAGACAACACGTTACTGTTTGATATTTATGTATGTATTATACTGTATCGGGATACATTACGTACTGTGTGAATATTTCAAACAGTTAATATGTAATATACCGAAGCGTTGCTATTTGGAATAAAACCGAAACGCCGAACTTAAGTGACCGCGAGTACAATGACATAAACTTGATTTTACCGCATTCCCAGAAAAAAGGATCATATACCATATTTCCCGTAAAAGACGCATCGGAATGTATTGGTACGGACTGTATTTCTTCACCGTATGGGGTTTGCAAATCGTTATCATTCATTTAATTTGTTGCACTATAACCGGCATCAATTAGGGATCCGGTCTCTATTCGGCAAATGTTACGATGCCTGCGTCTATCAGAGGAAATACGGTATAATAATTTCAATTCGCGAGCGTGCGAATCAAGGTTTACTTGCAGAGTATAACACAATGTCATGGTTGGATGGAAGCGAGATCAAAACTTATACGACATAAACGATGAAGTATAGGAACGCTGATATGAAACAATATATGAACGAACGGGTGCCTTTACCATTGTGTATAGCATTTTCCATGCACCCACCCCAACTAAGTGGCATTTTTCCATGACCCACCTCCCCATATAGTTGTGATACATTTTGAGGACCCCAACACGTCTTTTGGTGTGACGCGGCCAGGGGATCGCCCTTCCGTTCTCCGGGCAGACGCTCTTTCCATACCCGTGAAGATTCGAAGTAGAATGCATGTCATAAGAAGCGACTAATGGGATCGGGTGTTTCGGCTCGCTGACTTGGTTGATGCGCGTCATCGATCCCACTTGCGTCGATCGATGCTGATGATGTCAGTAACTAGATTGTCTGGTCCAGACTCGATTATTTACAGACCGCTGAATATTGCTGAGTGCGGCGTTAACAAACAAAGAAACAAACTGCATGCAGCGGCATGCTTGTGACCTGAATGTTGTTGTGTCCCAGTGACGTTGATAAGAGCTCCTGCTATAACAAGACTGCCTGTCCAGAATCGACATTACCGACTGCTTCTACCAACAACGCAAACACGTTCCGGTCATGTGAGCGTATGTCATCCGTCCGCCCACACTGAGAAAAAAGCCTAGTAAATTCTACTAACTTAATTAGTAACAGCGACCAGAAGGTTAGTAAACAGCGAATTTAGTAAAAATTTACTTATGAAATTAGTATAATTCACCACTTAAACCACACTGTGAAAAATGTGTTGAGAATGTAAACACATACAAGATATGTTTGGGAATGTGTTTCAATCCTAAACGGTATGAAATTAGCCATCGCCTCACAGACTAAACACCACCTAAACAGAATTATGACATGATACAAATTGGGGCAGAGCACGCATAGTCATTGACCTGACATTATATGATACACTACGGTACATACGCAGAATGACATCATATAATGTCAAGTCAATGTCTGTGTGCCCTCTGTACCGTAGTGTATCATGTCATAATGCCAAGTTAATATCCGATAATTTTTAAGACATTCAGTCTTCGTTAGTCCTCGTTTTAGAAATACCACTGTTTGGACTATCGGAATTGGAAACACAAGCTCGGAAAGTTACCTGTTTACGAATTTGCTAAAATATTAAGTCTTCTTCTGACACTGTGGTTTATGTCTTTGGTTATTTTCAGTAATATGACAGCTACATGGCAATATTGAGACTGACCCAGACAGATCAGTGGATGATATTAGGAGCAACGTCTCAAGCCGTTACGTTAGATGACAACCAGCCAACCCAGTCAAAGGGCCTGTCTACCTGATCATATTTAGACATATTTAATGGAAGAGGTGGGGTGAGGTGAAATGGGGTTAACGTCGTGTCCAAGATTATTGCACTTTTTCAGCGACATGCATGCACGTGTGTGTGTGTGTGTTTGTGTGTGACTGCTTGTACTAGTCCGGACTGATGCCGATTTATAGTGCTTACCCACTGAGATACTGAATGAAACGATGACACAGCAAAAGAGCGGGTCTTCAAAATGTACCACAACTATATGGGGGGGTCATGGAAAAATGCCACATGTACTTGGGGAGGGTGCATGAAAAATGCTATATACAATGGTACAATCCTAAGACGAATACCGAGCGCCAGGCAGGGTAACAACACGTACCATCTTTTAATTTCTTTTGGTGTGCCGCGGCCGGGGATCGAACCACCAACTTTCCGCTCCCCTGACAGGTGCTCTATCCCGTAGACAACGGACGCTGACCTATGGAGATATAATAGCCACAGACGCACCCACGCACACACACACGCACACACACGAACACACAGAACCTACACTCGCCTCGTCTCTCGCCATTGCCAAACACGAGATTAAGTCCGCCGCCATAATGAATTATATTTATGCAGTGCTCATAACGGTTGTGGTATTGATCGCACAGACATAAATACCAAATCCACTTCATAAAGAACCCGTCAACGTGGTAGATTTTCCTTGACGACGCCAGAGCTATAGCGTTCAGTGTTGCTCCCTCTGTTTTAATTACCCGACATGGCGATGGCGTTGCCTAGTAGCTAAAGTCGTGGCGGAAGTTCGATTCCCCACATGGAATTATCCCCACAAGCCCATTTTCAGTGCCAACCCGCCGAGACATGGCTTGAATGTTGACATTTGAGTCAATTCATACTCAACATCAACATTTCACGGTCGTTTGAATATAGCTTGACGAAACCATCATTATATATACGGCATCTTGTTATAAAACCCCATATGTATTGTAGTTACCTTCACAAACGCCGTTCAGTGACATATTGGAGGTATCATATGGACATCTTAATACCAAAGATTCAAAGCAATTTATCGTTGGTTGGTTGTTTTATTGTTTAACGCCGCACTCAGCAATATTCCAGCTATATGACGGCGGTCTGTAAATAATCGAGTCTAGACCAGCCAATCCAGTGATTGATATCGTGAGCATCGACCCACGTAATTGGGATCAATGACATGCATCAACCAAGTCAGCGAGCCCGATCACCCGATCCCGTTAGTCGCCTCTTACGACAAGCATAGTCGCCTTTAGCAATTTATCGAAAAGTACACTAAATTATTATTTCTATTGAAAGTTGCACATGTAAACAGTATCATAGCGAATATCTGTTAAGATATGACACAGACAGATACAATAGTAAGGTATATATATATATATATAGAGAGAGAGAGAGATAGAGATAGACGGGCGATGAACGTTTGTTGTGAAACTTTCACATTTAAATATCAGTTTGGGTTTATAACCTATGAATGGGCATTTGTAATTAAAATAATGGTTTTCATGATAGTATGTGATTAACGTCCACGAGACACTATACAAATCAATAAGCGGAAATAAATAAATGTTTCCTCCACGAAACATTAACTAAATATTCATATTTTGTTGATATTATAGGAATCTAAAAAGAATTAATCATCGTTCGGTCCACTAATAGTCGCACAATGTCAAAAAGAAAAGAGTAAAACTATACAAATAATTGTATGCTGACATTTTGATTTTCCAATAATAGATTACTTGACGTTCGACAGTCATCCCACGACCACCCCTCCTACACTTAGAGACTGTCGCGTGTTTACAGGTGAGATGAACTCATGACTGTGCATGTAAATCTCACCTCCCTTTCAATAAATGTTTAACCAGAATATACACTCACACTCACGATACATGACGCGACACATGTGCTTTAACGTATTTAGATCTTCATTTTTCTACGTAAATGACTTAACGCGATACATGACTCGACACATGTGCGTTAAGGTATTTAGATCTTCATTTATCTACGTAAATGACTTAACGCGAAAACACACATATATAGTTGCGGTGTGTATGATAATATCAACAGTGACGTCACGCCTCGTGTTGGCTTAAGAGTATTGTTACTATATTTAGCCTTGCCAGCGATCCGTCCCAGCTGCCCTGCCCACTTCGATCATCTAAACTTTACTTTCAGTGCAGAAGTAAACATGGACAGACCGCCCGTAGGAGACGTTGACGATCTGGCCACTTTAGCCAAACTTGACGAGCAAATTCTATTGGGAGAACTACGTGAAAGATACAGGAGAGGCCGAATATACGTGAGTTGAAAGCTGTTGTGTTCGTCTTTAGACATTTGCGAGCCGCCAAGTCATTGACTGGAACGGGTAGCATTCTGGTTGCCCCGCGTACACTAAGTCTTGTGCTGGGGCGTCGTCTTATCAAGTGTCCTGTACATATTGACGGGCGAGCTGATAGCAGAACATAGTGCTCGTGTTAGACACGTAACCGTAATTATCAAGAAATGTCGTTTATCGTATGCTGTGTGTACATTGTTCTAATAAGTCAACACATGATATTTATTATTATACGTCATTGATATGACAGATACGGTTGACACGTTATCCCCCAACTAGGAAGTATATTCAGGTCGGCGTGGTAGAAGAAGTGGTTATAACGTTTCATGAGGTTTGACGCATACAGTGATCTCGGTGTATTGTCTGCGATATGGGTCAGTGGGGAAAAATATGGTAATGCACCAGACAAAGTTCATGTATGTACAATGTATTAATCATACTTCTTCTTTACTGTTGAATAAATACTGATTCTTATCATGCTTATAGCTCTGTACAATATGTTCATACTTTAACAATAAAAAAGTTATAATCTTGTGAAAGTTTTTTTTGAAGGTCATTTTGTTTTGATATATAAAAGACAAATTCCATCTAAAGCAGAAAATATCAGATAGAAGTGAGAGTTTGTATGGGGGCAATCTTGGTGATACATGGATATTTTTGTGAGGGTGAGTTTGACAACTGGCATGACATATCTGGAAGGTTGATGGGGTCATACTGCAGGGGGGTTGTATATGTCATCATTATCAAGCCTCACTGTCGCCCTGTCCTGGTGATGATTGATGGTTGTCTCAAACAAAGCTAGTTGTCACATGTCACTGTTAACTTGCCTTTGTTTACCTGGTTGCACTCTGTGGAAAGCACAACATTGTATATACATTATTAAGTTAAATATGAATTTAGTGTTTTGAATATTACAAATATTTAAAAATATATTTGTATATGTGTTTAAAAAAAGAAAAGATTAATGATGAATACATAGAGGTTATCACGCGAGTGTGTTTGGGGATGGTAAATATCCTGCATTAGGAATAAACATTGTATTTAGCGAGCCTTGGCAAGCTAAATACATAGTGTTTATTCCTAATACAGGATATTTACCATCCCCAAACACACAAGCGTGATAACCTCTTTATCATATAATGTTATTCTTTAATTCTGTGCTTCAAAATCAATTTCCCTCTCTCACATACATTACCGAAACGTTGCGAGTTTTCCTGGAATGCGCGCATTAATATTCATTACGTCACAGGGTAAGTGATGTGTCAGTCGTACAGTGACAGCAGGCATTATAGTTCCAACTGAAATCTGTTTTCTTATACAGTGGCGAAGCAGCATACAACACGCAAAACAACAATTGTTTTTATTTGCCTTTCGCGGCAATCCATCGGTCTGTCCGCTAGAGTAACTGCCCTTTGTCAAAGGGAAGCTATTCTAACCCTAGTCTATGAGACGTCACGGCCACGGTCAGACGTTGTTGACAGCCGGTCTGTCCTGTCATAACGTTAAGAAGTGTAGTCAGATGTACACACAGCGACAAACCGAAACAAGGTAACAATTCAAACATATTTCGGCCAAATCCAACTATTTTAATTTGTGGAGAAGGTTTCAAGCGGCAGAGATCTACAAGCACAGATATGGCTACTGATCCCGCTTGGCTAGGCCTCGTGCTCTCGCAAAATTGTTTCGAAATTTATATCTCTAAAGTTGCCAAAACTTATAAAATGCATTCGCTACGTCACAGTTAGACACTGATTTTCTGTATATTAGACTGTTCTTTTGATAATGATAGCAATTATCCCTGTAGTTTATCCATTTTCCCGATGGTTAATTCTGACTCGATCGCCGAATGACGAGGGCGACGCCATGTTTGTTTATAAACAGTGAAAGTAGTCCCTACTTGACCTTTGATATTTGCATCTCTATCCGCATATGACCCCAACGGATATCGTTTTTATCCGTTGGCTTTATCCTGCCGAGAAACTTACTCATTATATGATAAATGAATATATTTGTAATTACATTAACGGTTACAAAGAACACCAGTTAAGTGAAATAAAGGCACTAAGCAACACAACATTACAGGAATGCCCCAATGTATATACACACCTAACACCAGGAATACCCCAGACACCAGGAATACCCCTGACACCAGGAGTACCCAAGTGTTTATACCCCTGACACCAGGAATACCCCAGACACAAGGAATACCCCTGACACCATGAATACCCCAGTGTATATACCCCTGTCACCAGTAATACCCCTGACCCCAGAAGTGCCCAAGTGTTTATACACACCTAGCACCAGGAATACATCAGACACCAGGAATACACCAGTGTCCCCTGACACCAGGAGTACCCCAGTGTATATACCCCTGACACCAGGAATACCTTGGACACCAGGAATACCCCAGTGTATATACCCCTGACACCAGGAATACCCAAGTGTATATACCCCTGACACCAGGAATACCTTGGACACCAGGAATACCTTGGACACCAGGAATACCCCAGTGTATATACCTCTGTGTTTATACCCCTGACACTAGGAATACCCCTGTGCATATATTCCTGACACCAGGAATACCTTGGACACCAGGAATACCACAGTGTATATACCCCTGACACCAGGAATACTTTGGACACCAGGAATACCCCAGTGTATATACCCCTGACACCAGGAATACCTTGGACACCAGGAATACCCCAGTGTATATACCCCTGACACCAGTAATACCCAAGTGTATATACCCCTGACACCAGGAATACCCCAGTGTATATACCCCTGACACCAGTAATACCCAAGTGTATATACCCCTGACACCAGGAATACCCCAGTGTATATACCCCTGACACCAGTAATACCCAAGTGTATATACCCCTGACACCAGGAATACCCCAGTGTATATACCCCTGACACCAGGAATACCCCAGTATATATACCCCTGACACCAGGAATACCCCAGTGTATATACCCCTGACACCAGAAATACCCAAGTATGTATACCCCTGACACCAGGAATACCAAAGTGTATAAACCCCTGACACCAGGAATACCCCAGTATATATACCCCTGACACCAGGAATACCCAAGTGTATATACCCCTGACACCAGAAATACCCAAGTATATATACCCCTGACACCAGGAATACCAAAGTGTATATACCCCTGACACCAGGAATATCCCAGTATATATACACCTGACTCCAGGAATACCCCAGCATATATACCCCTGACACCAGGAACACCCCAGTGTATATACCCCTGACACCAGGAATACCCCAGTGTATATACCCCTTACACCAGGAACACCCCAGTGTATATACCCCTGACACCAGGAATACCCCAGTGTATATACCCCTGACACCAGGAATATCCCAGTATATATACACCTGACTCCAGGAATACCCCAGTGTATATACCCATGACACCAGGAACACCCAAGTGTATATACCCCTGACACCAGGAATACCCCAGTGTATATACCCCTTACACCAGGAATACCCCAGTGTATATACCCCTGACACCAGATATACCCCAGTGTATATACCCCTGACACCAGGAACACCCCAGTGTATATACCCCTGACACCAGGAATATCCCAGTGTATATACTCCTGACACCAGGAATACCCCAGTGTATATACCCCTGACACCAGGAATACCCCAGTGTATATACCCCTGACACCAGGAATACATCGGACACCAGGAATACCCCAGTGTTTATACTCCTGACACCAGGAATACCTCTGACACCAGGAATACCCCAGTGTATATAACCCTGACACCAGGAATACCCCAGTGTAAATACCCCTGACACCAGGAATACCCCAGTGTATATGCCCCAGGATGAGATGGGGACAGGGTCACCAAATCGGGGTCGTGTACATACCGGTAGCCTTGTCCACAGTGTAGTTGACAAAAGATCAAACAATGTCAATGTTGTTTTTATTTCAGACGTATGTTGGAGATATCCTGATAGCAGTCAACCCATACAAGGATATTGGGATTTATGGCAAAAATGTGAGTGTTGACCTTTCTGTAATCTATCTATGATATAATGTTACTCAAGACCACAGACAGAAATGTCATGACCAATGTACTGGCTGAATTTAATTTAGCCTGTCTTATGTGCTCATATTAGTCATACAAAACTGTGCACAATCAGAACGTTTGTATTGTCAGGATTTCACAGATCCAGGGGCTCTGCCATAACTAAATGGACATTACTCCCTTTGGGTTCCAACTACATGTAAATCCCGTTGTTTCTCAAACTAGCTATTCATCATTGCTCATTTCTTTTTCTCAAATTTTCACTTAGTTTTCTAATAATTACACCATGTTTTGGCCCTATTCTATATTGTTCTCTTCTGACCTGCATGTTTTCACAATATTTGTGATCTTACATGAACAAGTTTAGTAATACCAGATTTAGGACTTGGATACTAAACGGTAATATGAAAGAGCTAATTATGATTGAGATGCATGAACTATTCGATGTAATTGATGTACAACCCATGGCCTACAGGTTGGGTCAGATGTCCGATGTCTCCGTTTGATGTTCCAGCTCGCTGCCTCCCTTTCATTATCATCAGGGGTGGTGGGGTAGCATAGTGGTTTAAGTGTTTGCTTGTCACACCAAAGGCCGGGTTTGATTCCCCACATGGGTACAATGTGTGAAGCCCATTCTGGTGTCCCCCACCGTGATAGTGATAGAATATTGCTAAAACAGCGTAAAACCATACTCACTCACTCACTCACTCAGTATCACCATATCATTGTTACTGTGTCACTGTCATTGTGTCACTATTGTGACATTGTGTCACTGTATTTTTCTCACTATCGTTGTGTCCCTGTCATTGTCATTGTGTTACAGTCATTGTTTCACTGTCATTGTGTCACTATTGTGACACTGTGTCACTGTATTTTTCTTACCGCCATAATGTGTCACTGTGTCAGTCATTGTGACACTGTGTTACTGTATCATTGTGTCACTGTCATTGTATCACTATCATGACATTGTGTCACTGTATTATTATCCCCCGCCATGAAGTGGAAGGTGGATATAGGAATGGGTCCTTCTGTCCATTATGTTTCGTTTCCGGAGCAAAACGCAAAAACCATGAGAGATATTTTAACCCACCTTGGCACATAGATAGGTCTTGTGGTGAACTGTTGCCTTTTGATAGTTTGGGATTTTTGAATTTTTTTTTTTTTTTCGAGTTTTTTCCATGGCAATGGCTTTGAAAATGGTGGTAGTGCTCAATTCTGGAGCAGATCTTGTTCTCACTGATGCTGTGTCATGGTGTAACTGTGATCACTGTATCATTGTGTCATAGTATTACTATTATTGTGTCACTGTATCATTGTGTCTCTGTCGTATCATTGTGTCACTGTCTTGTCGCTGTATCACTGTGACATCATTATGTCAGTGTAATGTAAATGTGTCACTGTGCTCACTGCATCATGCATCAATGTGTCATTGCAGGAGGCCAAGAAGTACAGAGGAGGCAAGAAGAGCAACAACCCACCCCACATCTTTGCCATTGCTGATGCTACCTACCAATCGCTGTTGGGTCAGGGAGGTCGTCTACCGAGCAACCAGTGCATCCTCATCAGCGGGGAGAGTGGGGCAGGGAAGACCGAGAGCACGAAGCTCATCATTAAACAGCTGATCAGTCTGTGCGGGGGCAACGTCCAGTCATCCACTGCCCAGCTGGAGCAGCAGATTCTACAGGTACCCACCAAGACTAGAGCATCTTCCTCTTACTGAATACAGTCTCACAATACCTCACACAATCCAACAAACAAAATGCAATACACACAAAATTTAACATTTTTATTAGGGCTGCAACGATACAGGAAGGTCACGACACGATAAATATCTCGAAATTCTGGTCACGATACAATACGTATCTCGATACGCAACGATAAAAAAAAGAGTACTCCAGCATTTATTAAATTTCAAGGCTTCAAGCATGTCAGGCTTTGACCTTTCATGTTTTTGGAACAGTCAAAAATATTTTATAATAACAAGACTACATGTTAAGTGGAACTTTCTCTCACTTTCCGTCAAAACATGTCAAATTTCAAAACAGTCAAAGTTCAAACACCAGAAAATAATCAATGCACTTCACAGTCTGAATACTTTAACTTCAGGTTCTTTTTCAGAAAAAAAAATATCAACCTTGTCAAGGGAAAGTGATACCCTCTCTTAACAGAGTTGGAGTCGTAGGGGGTAGATGACCAACACAACAGTACATGTTCTGCCTACCTAACACGATCTACGATGTACGCTTCAGAGTTTGACAAAGGATTAAAATAATAGTTGTTTATGATTCATAGTGTAAAAAAACATATTTATCGAGTGTTATGCGCAAGTGTTATTACTGTTAAATTACAAACATAAGTCCAGATATACATTGAACACGTTTTTATAATCAGATAGTATAATAATTGGATTGAATTGCGTACTTGAGTTTGTATTTATTGACTAGTATTTCCAGTGTTCCCTGCTCGCGCTGTTAATGTTTTCTTTTGTGATTGGGAAAAACATCGTGTAAGTAAAGAAACTTGCGCTTTTTAAAATGTAAGTAAGTTTTGGGAGCCATGTGTTACTGTGCTCAATAAACAGAGCTAGTGCTATATTGAAGGATGCAATACAAGAGAACATTGTACTAAGATGTGCATTCCGTATCGTGGCGTATCGATAAATAGACCAATGTGTATCGTGTATCGTTGGTCAAGTATCGCGATGCATTGGAATATCGGTAGATCGTTTCACCCTTAATTTTTATACAGCTTCAGTCCAACCAAGACCAGGTATAACTATCAGTTGTGTCTTTGGATTATGGTTTGGTTCATCCAAATGTTTATCTGGCATCAATTTTAGTCCTTTTTTTTAATTCTTCAATTTTTTTTCAATTTTTCAGCTTCAAGACAGGTTCATAATAACTGTAAAGAAAGTCAATGTATTTCTTGTCATTCAATAACAACCCGACATGCGTTTTTCTGGGTTTTTTTAACTACTGACTATTTCAATGGAACACGCTAAACACATGACTTGTTATTCTATTTCTGTATTTACATGATTAATGGTTTTGAAAAAAACACTATATTTTATGTTCCAACTTATAAAAAAATATAACCACACCTCTATGACTTAATCTACCAAATTTGAAAGCATCTACAATCTGTGTCATTTCGGGCTGACACACTGTGATATAGCTGAAATACTGTACAAAGCGGTATTAAGCCTCACTCACTCACTCACTCACTCACTCACTCACTCACTCACTCACTCACTCACTCACTCACTCACTCACTCACTCACTCACTCACTCACTCACTCACTCACTCACTCACTCACTCACTCACTCACTCACTCACTCACTCACTCACTCACTCACTCACTCACTCACTCACTCACTCACTCACTCACTCACTCACTCACTCACTCACTCACTCACTCACTCACTCACTCACTCACTCACTCACTCACTCACTCACTCACTCACTCACTCACTCACTCACTCACTCACTCACTCACTCACTCACTCACTCACTCACTCACTCACTCACTCACTCACTCACTCACTCACTCACTCACTCACTCACTCACTCACTCACTCACTCACTCACTCACTCACTCACTCACTCACTCACTCACTCACTCACTCACTCACTCACTCACTCACTCACTCACTCACTCACTCACTCACTCACTCACTCACTCACTCACTCACTCACTCACTCACTCACTCACTCACTCACTCACTCACTCACTCACTCACTCACTCACTCACTCACTCACTCACTCACTCACTCACTCACTCACTCACTCACTCACTCACTCACTCACTCACTCACTCACTCACTCACTCACTGAGTATTTGTGATGCCCTGTTCTTGCTGACCACCAGGTGAACCCACTGCTGGAGGCATTCGGCAATGCCCAGACCAACATGAACGACAACTCCAGTCGCTTTGGCAAGTACATCCAGCTCAAGTTCAGGAAAGGCCTTGGTGAGTCTTGTCATGTTGCCTGTGATACAACATGCATTCTATTATTATATTTGAGTGTTTTTTAGATTCAAACCAACTACTGACCTGTGTGTCTCTATGTCTTGACACTGATCCTAATGTCTTAGGGAAGCCTTAGGATGATATACTGACCTGTGTGTGTCTATGTCTGGCACTGAATCTAATGTCTTAGGGAAGCCTTAGGATGATATACTGACCTGTGTGTGTATATGTCTGGCACTGAATCTAATGTCTTAGGGAAGCCTTAGGATGATATACTGACCTGTGTGTGTCCATGTCTGGCACTGAATCTAATGTCTTAGGGAAGCCTTAGGATGATATACTGACCTGTGTGTGTCTATGTCTGGCACTGAATCTAATGTCTTAGGGAAGCCTTAGGATGATATACTGACCTGTGTGTTTCTATGTCTTACACTGAGTCTTGTCTCAGGGAAGCCTAAGATTGATATACTGATATACTGACCTGTGTGTGTCATACTAACCTCCATTCCTCCGGCCAGTGATGGGTGCCAAGATCTCAGAGTACCTGCTGGAGAAGTCGCGGGTCGTACGGCAGAGTCCGGGGGAGGAGAACTTCCACATCTTTCACTACTTGTTTGCCGGACTCTCCCCTGAACAGCAGGACAAATTCGTTCTCAGGGACGTGGCCAAGTTCAGGTAGGTCAGGATAATGTCACCAGGGTGAAGGTCATAGGATCAATGCCATGATGCATACCAGTTGAGCATGAATTTGAATTAATTCCTTTTACCTTTTTATGTTATATAGTTCTTGTTTTGAGTAGTCTGTGGTTCTTAAGCTGTGGCCGTACTTCAAAAAGAATTACGTTGATAATATGGCTTTACACTTCACATATCAGGAATTCTGGAAATTAATGCAATATGCCATTGATGTAATGAAAGTCAGCTGGTTCATGATAAATAAACGGATTAGAATGAAGGCAGTATTCTCCCTTGGGCTATTTTTGTGTGTAGTTGAGAATATGGTCTTGTTTACCAAATAGGGAATATATCCTGTCTGACCTTATTTACCACCTAAAGAATATACCCTGTCTGATCTTACTTACCAACTGGAGAATTTACCCTGTCAGACTTTACTTACCAGCTAGAGAATAACCTGATGTCATTCTTCCAGGTATCTGTCCAATGGTGCAAAGGTGCTGCAAAAGAAGGGTGGCATTTTGAAGGGGAGATACGAGGAACTGTGTAATGCCATGGATCTGGTCGGCTTCACAGATGAGGTACGATAAGTTGACATTTGACAAGAGTTGTCACTGAAAACATTAGAATAAACAATATACCGTATTTGACATATTATATGCCCTGCTCCAATAAACGCCCCCGACCAACTTCTAAACCAATCTGAAAGTAATTGTTATAAGCAGTCCCTACAAAGGCTGAAAATGTAATGACCGACTCTATTTTCTTGTTTATATAAAAGTATTTTTTTTCATAAAACCAAAGCGCTGATTTGGGTATTTTATTGTTCAGTAACTATTATCGAAAAGTTTTAGTTTCATTGACGTTTGAACTGTTTGTTCACCACCTCTCACTCTCTGAAAATATATGCTGTTGTTTATGGCATAAGCACCCCAATATGTCAATTTCCTCAGAACACAAAGCAGTTATTACAATGATTACGGTACATACAACTTTGGAGTTAGGTCAAGACTTTTCTGTGTGTTTCAGGAACAACTAGAAGTGTTCACTGTGATAGCCAGCGTGCTGCACCTTGGTAACATCCGGTTTGACTCCAATGAGCAGGATGCAGCAGTCCTCATGGACCCCAATGGAGCTGTGAAAGTGGCATCAGTAAGTTTGTGTGCAACACGAAGATCGCATTAGCCAGAGATAGGGACAAGTCCTCATCTTGAACATAGCAGGGGAATGGGGATCTAGTTTTCTAAAAGAGGCACTATTTGCTCTCCACGGTTGCATGATCACAAAATCCCAGGTTCACCTGATTTGTTTGGCAGCACCATTCTAAGTGGTAAATGTCTAATTCTTGCATCACTTCAGGCTTTCTTAAGCAACATTAAGCTGACACACATGGAAATGAAATACTGTTCAAAGGGTCTCTCAACCCAACTCACTCTTTGAAGTATACAGATGAGCAGAGATTTGCAGGATAACGGATGTGATGTTTGTGTAGATGCTGTTGCAAGTGGACCCGGAGGAGGTGGAGGCATGTCTGACATCCATGGTGACGGTCATCAAGGGGGAGTATGTGAAGCAGCTCTACAGTAAACAGCAGGCAGAGGGTGAGTTGCACCGTGGATGGGGACAGGGGATGGGGGAAGTGACTGGGGGATGGGGTGAGTGAGGGGGAAGAGGTGAGTGACGGGGGAAGGGGATGAGTGAGGGGGATGGGGTGAGTGAGGGGGGATGGGGGAAGTGACTGGGGGAAGGGGTGAGTGAGGGGGGCGGGGTGAGTGATGGGGGATGGGGTGAGTGATGGGGGAAGAGGTGAGTGACGGGGGAAGGGGATGAGTGAGGGGGATGGGGTGAGTGACACTGAGATGGGGTGAGTGACAGGGATGGGGTGAGTGAAATTGGATGGGGTGAGTGACAGGGATGTGGTGAGTGACAATGGGATGGGGTGAGTGACAGGGATGGGGTGAGTGAAATGGGATGGTATGAGTGACAATGGGATGGGGTGAGTGACAGGGATGGGGTGAGTTAAATGGGATGGGATTAGTGACAATGGGATGGGGTGAGTGACACTGAGATGGGGTGAGTAAATGGGATGGGATGAGTGACAATGGGATGGGGTGAGTGACAGGGATGGGTGAGTGAAATGGGATGGGGTGAGTGACAATGTGATGAGTGAGGGGGATGGGGTGAGTGAGGTGAGATGGGGATGGGGAATGGGGTGAACAACAAGAGGATGGTGATTCAAGGATTGGATGGTTGATTTGGTTCGATAACTGTAAGCATGTGTAAGGATGGCGCTAGTGACTGAGAATTGTCAGGTGACTTTGTGGATGGGATTTGTGACTGTGGGGATGTAAAGGGCTGCAGCACATCCCCATCTATCCATGCCTTACAGCTGTGTTCTCTGTTGTCAGATGCCAGGGATGCCATGGCCAAGACACTCTATGGACGTCTGTTTGGCTGGATAGTCAACAAGATCAACTGTTTGCTTGCACCAGAGGAAGACATTCCACCTGATGAAGTCCGGGAGATTGGTAAGTTTTCTAGAACAATGCAGTGTGTGAGTATATTGTGTAATACTTATAATAAGCTTACTATAAGTCTTAGACAAATATCTGAACTGAAAGTTGAGATATAATATTGTGTGTTCATTTCAGGGATTCTGGACATATTTGGGTTTGAGCATTTTGAGCTAAACAGTTTTGAGCAGGCATGTATCAACCTAGCCAATGAGCAGCTGCAGTTCTTCTTCAATGAGGTAACTCCTTCCACTGTAGTTCAGTCTCTAATGCCTGTTGTCTGTTCCCCATTTGTCTCTCTCGTGTCTGTTCCTAATTGTCTGTCTTTTGTCTGTCCCCTTTTTGTCTGTCTGTTGTCTGTCTTCAATTTGTCTCTCTCATGTCTGTTCCTAATTGTCTGTCTGGTGATTGTCCCCAAGTGTGTCTGTTGTCTGTTCCAGCTGTTGTCTGTCCATTGATATGTTTGTCTTTCTTTGTCTGTCCGTTATCTGTGTCTGTTATCTCTTCCGAATAATCTGCATGTTGCCTGTCCTCCATTGTCTCTTTCTGTCTGTCCTCCATTTTGTGTCTGTTCGCTGTCCCCTATTGTCCGTCTTTTTGTATGTCCTCCTTTGTCTGTCTGTTCTGTCCCCTATTGTCCAACTGTTCTCTGTCCCCCATTGTCCATCTTTTTGTACGTCCTCCTTTGTCTGTCTGTTCTGTCTCCTATTGTCCTTCTGTTCTCTGTCCCCCATTGTCCGTCTTTTTGTATGTCCTCCTTTGTCTGTCTGTTCTGTCCCCTATTGTCTGTCTGTTCTCTGTCCCCCATTGTCCGTCTTTTTGTATGTCCTCCTTTGTCTGTCTGTTCTGTCCCCTATTGTCTGTCTTTTTGTACGTCCTCCTTTGTCTGTCGCTTCTGTCCCCTATTGTCCTTCTGTTCTCTGTCCCCCATTGTCCGTCTTTTTGTACGTCCTCCTTTGTCTGTTTGTTCTGTATCCTATTGTCCGTCTGTTCTCTGTCCCCAATTGTCCGTCTTTTTGTATGTCCTCCTTTGTCCGTCTGTTCTGTCCCCTATTGTCCTTCTGTTCTCTGTCCCCCATTGTCCATCTTTTTGTATGTCCTCCTTTGTCTGTCTGTTCTGTCCCCTATTGTCCGTCTGTTCTCTGTCCCCCATTGTCTGTCTTTTTGTATGCCCTCCTTTGTCTGTCTGTTCTGTCTCCTATAGTCCATCTGTCCTCTGTCCACTAGAAGCCTGTCTGTTGTCTGTCTACTAATAGGCAGTGTGTTGTCTGTCCACTAAAAGACTCTCTGTTGTCTTACCACAGCACATCTTCAAAATGGAGCAAGAGGAATACATTAGAGAAGGCATTGACTGGAAGGAGATCAAGTTTGTGGACAACAAGCCCCTTCTGGTATGTACACAGATGTACATAGATCAGTCAGGAACTTACATGTCTTTCAATGAGTTATTGATTTAGCTAGAAATGCCTTTTATTAAATCTGAAAAACTTGTATTTCAGGATATGTTTCTGACAAAGCCTATAGGACTCCTGGCTCTCTTGGACGAAGAAAGCATGTTCCCCAAGGTAACTCTTGAGCCCAAGTTTACGTGACAATCCAACCCAGTATAGACATTTCAGTTGTTTATTCAAGGAATGTGAGGAGTCCATCAGCCCAATACACATATGTGCTGAAGACATGTCATATTGGAGAGGGTTCTACATACTATGTTAATTCAATCTACATTGTCTCAAGAACATAACTGTGTAACTGTTGAGAAGTGGTATTTCTACACTGTTGTGGATTAGGAATTAGCAGTTCAGATATCTCTTCAGTTAGTGGTTTTCAAATTGTAAACCACTTGACCTGTTCTAGTTTCACTTTGGACATGTGTATGTGGCACATCAAGGAAACACGCTAGGAGTGAAGCCGCCCAACTACTTCTCAGTGTCACAATGATATATTGCCCTACTTGTCCTCTCAGCTCTACAGCTACATGAATAGAAAGCCTGATTGATAGGGAAGGGAATTCAAAGGGCCTGGGTTTTTGGAAAAAAAATAACCTGTTCCCGAAAATGCAGGAAACAAGCAATTTTTCCTTGGGTTTTACAAAATTAACAACGCGTGTGGTCTAGACTTTGATTAATGAATAATTTGCATACTCGTATATGCAAGGGGCCGACGTATGGTTCTCAGTAGGAAGTGACAACTTGGAGACGATGGCTTCGGGTATATACAGTTTTACTTTATACATGTAGATATATACATACAAAAGACACTATGTGCCAGGTCAGCACATAAGGGTAGTGGTTGTTGTCTAGGTGCCCCGGAGCACCCAGCCTAACCCTAGCTAGGCTAAGGGTAAGACCTTTCTTTTCTTCTTCTTCTATCTCTCTGGACCAAGGCTTATACAGCCAAGGTCACCTAACATTTGGTAAGTAATAAATATAAATATAAACAGTAATTCACCAGTGACATACTTGCACATCTCGTTCAGGATGGCAGACAGTTGATGTACACAAAAATGGGGATTAACAATTAGGGTTAGCATCTTATAAATAACAGCAATTAAGTGTTTCAAGGCATATAGATGTCATGGCTCCAGGGTAACGAGCCTTTGCAATTAAATGTTCTTCAGACAATGGGTGTCGTAAATCAGTCACTATGACAAAATGACGAATTCGTTTACTGGAAATGCTGGGTGATATATTTTGGAAAAGAAACTATGTGGTCCCAAACAGAAATCCCAACTTCTGCATTAAAAATAACATGTGAACATTTTAATGAAATACTGAAAAAGGCACATGTAAACAATTACTTACTCACTGTCTCTCTGACAGGCCACTGACCAGACATATGTAGAGAAGATTACATCGCACTTCAAGAAGAACCAGTACTTTGGGGCATCACAGCAGACTCGGAGTGTCAACTTCTCTGTCAACCACTATGCTGGCAAGGTGAGATAACTCTGTCAGCCACTATGCTGGCAAGGTGAGATAACTCTGTCAACCACTGTGCTGGCAAGGTGAGATAACTCTTCCAACCACTATGCTGGCAAGGTGAGATAACTCTTTCAACCGCTATACTGGCAAGGTGAAATAACCTTGTCAACCACTATGCTGACAAGGTGAAATTACTCTGTCAACCACTATGCTGACCAGGTGAGATAATTCTTTCAACCACTATGCTGACAAGGTGAGATAACTCTTCCAACCACTATGCTGGCACGGTGAGATAACTCTTCCAACCACTATGCTGGCAAGGTGAGATAACTCTTCCAACCGCTATGCTGGCAAGGTGAGATAACTCTTTCAACCACTATGCTGGCAAGGTGAGATAACTCTTCCAACCACTATGCTGGCACGGTGTGATGTCACTCACAATACTCTTTCTATCTCCTCAGTACAATGATGACATGTTTTGGTTGCTGTATGTTGATGTAGGTGGAGTATGATGCTACCCGGTGGTTGGAGAAGAACCGAGACACACTGCCATCTGGCATCATGGAGATCCTCACATCCAGCAACACATCACTGGTCAAGACCATCTTCAGAGGTAAGCAGTTAATGATGTTTGGACTCTGTAAGAGTGTGGTTAATCTACCTAATCTATAATGGAAATATTTAATAAATGTGTTTAGTTCATGACAGACAATCATCCATGTCAAACACTGTGTGCTGCCCCAGCTGTTCTGTCAAGCTTAAATGTATGGTGACCTTGTAATATATCAAAATTGAAAATCTGCCATCTTATCTTCTCCAGCTCAGATCACCAGGACTGGCAGCTTGTCTCTACAAGGACGGACGTTGAGGAAGTCATCCAGGGTGAGATGATATCACTTGCACATCTTAATCAAGGGACACTCAGATACCTGACTTGACCTGTATATGTGGACATGAATCAAGGACAATCACACCCGTGTCTTAACCTTTGTAGGTGTGGAGAAGATATGAATCATTGAAACCTGTATCTGTTTGGGTCTCTTCCCACAAGAAAGAGTGATCACCTTTATATGAGTGGAATAAGGTTAAAATCTGTGTTTATCACCGTACCACTCCTTCTCTGTACACCAGTATATTGAGCAGGATAGCTGTAGATGCATGCCTTTATCAGTATGTGTCATAGACCTGTGTATCATATGCCTATCAATGATATGAGGTATTTTGCATGTGCCATAGAGCCAACATGTAGACGGTCATATCACAGGGGGTGCAGTTAACAGACCCGTATTAAACCCTCTGCCGGGCTGATATGGCTTGTTGGTGCATTTTGAATAGGCAAAATTTGAGTTAGGTCCCATACTGCGTTGTCTGTTTGTCACCTCAGCTAGTTTCCAAGAGACACTGTTTTCCAAACAAGGTGAAAATGTATCACATTCACTTGCAATTTACAATTTGATAATATTGCATGTGATAAAAGCTGATATCTGGTTTTGGGGTTGATGTGGGGTATGATATAAAAACTGACATATAGTGACCTCCAAGTATTTTGAAATGTCCCTTGACATGAAATGACATTTGTAACATATTGAATCTCATCAAGACATTAAATCCTTTTTGACAAGCTAGACATATAGATAGTATTATAAAGCCACTGAAAATTCACAAGCAGGACATATTGATAGGGTTCCTATTATAAAGTCAACTTGTTTCCAGTTGAGGAAAGTAAATCCTGACAAGATCCGAGCCAAGCGGAAGGTGACAGTGGGAGCACAGTTCAAGGTAAGCAGCATACCGTATTCGACGTAATAAGCGCCCCGCTCTAATAAGCGCCCAGGGCGATATTTGCTAATATATTGGCTAGTGAACAATCCCAATTAGCACTCCTTCCGATTGATCAACGTACACAAGACTTATTTATTCGCGTATAATACGCACGCGTGTGTTATATGCATTCTTAATTATGGGCAATTAAATTCTGGAAAAATGTATCTGTCCCATATAAACATTTCAGTGTGTCAGCAGAAACCATGAAATTTATCTTTCAACTCTCTTTTTTCACCAGAATAATATTCTAATAAGAGCCCCCTATCCTAATTTTGAGAGCGCCCTGGGCGCTTATTAAGTCGAATACGGTAACTACTGGTCGGATATTGAGGTGGGCGATGAGGAGATTGTGTTGAGTAAGTTACACCTCATCAAAAGCATGTTAGAAGACCCTCACCAAATACTTGACGTTTTTGTATGACCTTCTCCTTTAATTAATATATCTTGTTAAGCTTTAAAACAGCAAATATGTTGTTTGCAATGTTGGTAGAACATACAACTTTTGGATAGTTGCACAGACTTGTTTTTGAGATGTAAGGAGTTGGAAATATTTTGGGTTTGGTCTTCTCAAAGATCTATAATGGCACTGATGAAATAGTTGTGACACTCAGGACAGAGACAAGCGATTCCTGTCATCACCATGGTACAAGTGATTGTATTTGAGACCATTGTAGCTCATTCCTGATTCCTACTGTGACATGGCCGTGTTATGGGAGCAGGATAATGTCAACGACTGAAACACAGGTATTCAACATGGTTGTCTCATTCTGCTGCAGACCTCCCTGAACATCCTGATGGAGCGGATGCAGTCAGCCACACCGGTGTTTGTCCGCTGTCTCAAACCCAACCATGTCAAGAAGCCTGAGATGTTCATGGATGAATACATTCTGGCCCAGGTAGGCAGACATGACCGTTATAACATGTTACTATTGTGGTACACGACATGGCCCAGGTAGGCAGACATGACCGTTATAACATGTTACTATTGTGGTACATGACATGGCCCAGGTAGGCAGACATGACAGTTATAACATGTAACTATTGTGTTACATCATGGCCTAGGTAGGCAGACATGATAGTTATAACATGTTACTATTGTGGTACATGACATGGCCCAGGTAGGCAGACATGACAGTTATAACATGTAACTATTGTGTTACATCATGGCCCAGGTAGGCAGACATGACAGTTATAACATGTTACTATTGTGGTACATGACATGGCCCAGGTAGGCAGACATGACAGTTATAACATGTAACTATTGTGTTACATCATGGCCTAGGTAGGCAGACATGACAGTTATAACATGTAACTATTGTGGTACATCATGGCCGAGGTAGGCAGACATGACAGTTATAACATGTAACTATTGTGGTACATCATGGCCGAGGTAGGCAGACATGACAGTTATAACATGTTACTATTGTGGTACATCATGGCCGAGGTATGCATACACTAGGGCTGGGACAGGGAACTCGGGTACTTGGGTCGGGTGGGTCCCGAGTAGGACCCGGGTACCAACCAGGACATACCCCGACCCATGGTTTGTCACATGACAAAAACTCACTATAGCTAAGTTTTTCACTACAAGTCGCTAATACATGCAGTCATGCCCCGCTTATACGGACTTCAGATATCCGGAAACCTCAGTTCCCGGATGATTATCATTCAAAACGAAATAATTACTATATAAATTTACCCGTATATACGGAAATTCAGTTTCCGGAACCGGATGGTCATTTTCATACACAAAACACTGAAATGCACATAAAATTGTCTCACTTACCCCGACAATACACTTCCGCTGGTGGTAATCCTTTGATTCGTGAGAAGTCAATTAACCAAGTGACACTGAGTTACGTTTGATACGAGCTTGTTTATTGTACATGTAATCCCATTCGATAAATATGGCGTCTGTGGAGGTCAGAGGTCAAAGTTGTTACTTCAAACTGAGTATGGCCTGTCGACCAGCTAAACGTAAGCGACACGCAGTTACAGCACGAGAAAAAAGGGAAATTTGTCTGTTTAAAGAAAAACACCCGTCAGCAAGTTTAGAAACCATCAGTAAGCATTATGGCACTGAATTTGGACATACCATAGGAAAATCGACAATTGGTGACATTTTAAAAGACAAACAGAAGTGGCTAAATCTCCCGGAAAATTCACATGACCAATCAGGATCCCGTGTAGCAAAACACCAGAAGCTGGAAGATGCATTATATCTTTGGTTGTGTGACATGACAAGTCGTAATGTGCCCGTTAATGATTTCTGAGAAGTATTACGAGAACACAGGCGATCTGGACAATTTGGAATTATTGTTTAAAATTCAAACCTCAAAATGTGGTAAAGTTCAAACTTCCATGACAGATTTTTTAAAACGTGTATGTCTTGAATAAAGATTGAGTGGATGTATCTGTTTGCTCTGTCATCTGTCATGAGTTGCATAATTAAAGGGAAGTAACTCAGTTATGGAGCATGGAGTGTTGTAGCAATGCATGTGTTGTGGCGATGCATGTGTTGTGGCGATGCATGTGTTGTGCATGTAGTGGTGATGCATGTGTTTTAGCGATGCATGTGTTGTAGTGATGCATGTGTGTGCATGTGTTGTAGCAATGCATGTGTTGTGCATGTAGTGGTGATGTTGTGTTGTGGCGATGCATGTGTTGTGCATGTGTTGTAGCAATGCATGTGTTGTGCATGTGTTGTAGCGATGCATGTGTTGTAGTTATGCATGTGTTGTGCATGTAGTGGTGATGCATGTGTTTTAGCAATGCATGTGTTGTAGTGATGCATGTGTGTGCATGTGTTGTAGCAATGCATGTGTTGTGCATGTAGTGGTGATGTTGTGTTGTGGCGATGCATGTGTTGTGCATGTGTTGTAGCAATGCATGTGTTGTGCATGTGTTGTAGCAATGCATGTGTTGTGCATGTAGTGGTGATGTTGTGTTGTGGCGATGCATGTGTTGTAGCGATGCATGTGTTGTGCATGTGTTGTAGCGATGCATGTGTTGTGCATGTAGTGGTGATGTTGTGTTGTGGCGATGCATGTGTTGTAGCAATGCATGTGTTGTGCATGTAGTGGTGATGCATGTGTTGTAGCGATGCATGTGTGTGCATGTGTTGTAGCAATGCATGTGTTGTGCATGTGTTGTAGCGATGCATGTGTTGTAGCGATGCATGTGTTGTAGCAATGCATGTGTTGTGCATGTAGTGGTGATGTTGTGTTGTGGCGATGCATGTGTTGTAGCAATGCATGTGTTGTGCATGTAGTGGTGATGTTGTGTTGTGGCGATGCATGTGTTGTAGCAATGCATGTGTTGTGCATGTAGTGGTGATGTTGTGTTGTGGCGATGCATGTGTTGTAGCAATGCATGTGTTGTGCATGTAGTGGTGATGCATGTGTTGTAGCGATGCATGTGTTGTAGCGATGCATGTGTTGTGCATGTAGTGGTGATGTTGTGTTGTGGCGATGCATGTGTTGTAGCAATGCATGTGTTGTGCATGTAGTGGTGATGCATGTGTTGTAGCGATGCATGTGTTGTAGTGATGTATGTGTGTGCATGTGTTGTAGCAATGCATGTGTTGTGCATGTGTTGTAGCAATGCATGTGTTGTAGTGATGCATGTGTGTGCATGTGTTGTGCATGTAGTGGTGATGCATTTGCTGTGCATGTTGTAGCTGCTGTACACTGGCATGTTGGAGACAACAAAGATCCGCCGGGAGGGCTTTGCAGTGAGACCTTTGTTCCAGGACTTTGTTGACAAGTATGCTTCTACCTCTTTCTCATGACAACGTTTAGTGTATATATTTTATCTCTTTCCTTTTTCCTGTATACCATTGTAATATATTTAATGAACAAATGCATATGACAGATTAGAGTGGATGTTTTCAATGACAGGAGTCAGTACAGTTAACCCTTGCGTTTATAGGTACAAGATTCTGCTGTGTCAGCACAAACTGAAGGGGTCCTCTGACAACTGCAAGAAGATTCTCAAGGCTAGCGGCCTCAGTGGCTGGCACATTGGGTCAGTACACATGTACTCACAGCTAACTTTCCTCTAAACCTGAATATTTCGCAACTCTCAGCAAGTACGAGATCATCCAGCTCACACAAGAACCTTTCTGGCCATTGTATTGTATGGAGATTATTTTCCATGCCATGTTGGTTAAGACCTCCTCTGTGGTCTAGTGGTAGACTGTCCAGAGTTTGATCCCTGGACGCATCATACCAAAAGACGTTCAAAGATGGGACTTGTTGTTACCCTGTCTGGCACTCGGCATTAAGGGGCTAAAACAAGGACTGGTCTGCTCGGAGTTTCAGTATACTGTGTCTTAGTGTGGTATTCATGTTAAACTGCGGCATGGTATCTCAGTGTGCTAGCACTATAACTCAGCATCAGTCTGGACTAGTACAAGCAGCCGCAAACACATGCATGCATGTCGCTTTATAAATGCAATAATCTTGGATGTTAAACCCCATTTTACCTCACCCCCATCTTGGTTAATAAACACTGTATTTGTTGTGTTTGTAGTATTGGAGGGTAAATTCATTGCTAAATTCACTGTGTTTAAGTCCCTTTTAGTGCTGAACAGGCAGCTAGTGTTGTATCATCTCCAGGGAACTGGCAATGCATCAGAGCTCCAGATAAGCTGCGTATCTGCGTAAAATACGCATCAGAAATGCAGAAATACGCAGTAAAATAAAATCCAAGCGTATCAAATACGCAACGAACATTACAGATACGCTACAAAAATAAAACTTGTGCGTATCATCAAAATATTGTGAAGTAACCCTGCATATTCGATTAGCTAATCAGCAACTTATTTTGAAATTATAAACGGGCATTCAGTCAACCTTGCCCAACTCCACGATGACAGTTACATCATGATCATTTGCCATCACACTTTCTTGTGGAAGTATCATGGTATTTTTGAGTCCTATAAAGCTCTCGAACCCACACGACACCAGTTTGCAGGGACTAGATGAATAGTGTTTTTAAATATTTAACTTAAATACCCACATGTGTAAAAACTAGTGGGTAACAGAAATTTGATATACCCAGATAGAATTACTGATACCCAATGATTTTAAAATGCATGGGTAAAATACCCACAACACCAAAAGCTTGCTGATTCTTTGACCAAGGTAACGTTTAGCATGCTTGTATTGTGCCGGGCAATATAGGAGTGGACAGATTATTGTTATTACTATTGATACACTTGTTGCGTGAGACTTGCGTTATGAGTAGCCCTTTATGGAAGCACCTGAATGAGACTGGATATTAATTTGTTCAGGAAAACAAAGGTGTTCCTAAAGTACTGGCACATTGAACAGCTGGCCGACATCCTGGAACGCATTGGAAAGTCAGCACGGGTGCTGCAGAAACGTGAGCAGAACACCTTGGGGAACTTCTGTATATGTGTTGTGGTTTGATGTTCTTCTAAATATGACCGCCTCCGTGGTCTAGTGGTAGAGCATCTGCCCATAGAGCGGAAGGTCCGGGGTTCGATCCCCGACCGTATCATATCAAAAGACGTTAAAAGATGGTACTTGTTGTTACCCTGTCTGGGTAAAACAAGGACTGGTCGGCTCGGAGTCAGTATACTGTGTCTGAGTGGGGTATTCATGTTAAACTGCGGCATGGTATCTCAGTGAGCTAGCACTATAAATCGGCATCAGTCCGGACTAGAACAAGCAGCCACACAAACACACACACGTACATGCACGTCGCTATATAAGTGCAATAATCTTGGACGCGACTTTAAACCCCATTTCACCTCACCTCACCTTCTTCTAAATATACACTGTACAGGCACAGAGGTCTAAGGTGTTATTTGTTATAATTGGCATAATTTTGCGAAGCTCATCTGTTCGACATAGCCTGAGTTGTTTCGAACTTCAGTAGCATACATTGTTATAAAGGCACCGCCATTTAATCTCTGCATAGCCAAATATTATTAGTATTGTGAATGAAACAGGATTGAAGGAGAATCTCCTCATAATTGTATGTATATCAGGAAAAGGTTGCAGAAAAATACTCAGAAGATATGAAATGACTATCTCTCACCGGTCAAGTCTTCAACTGTGCTTCAACCTGTTGTCTCAATATTATGATTGTATGTCTACAGTTGCACGAGGGTTTGTTGCACGTCGTCGTGTTGCTCGTCTACGTCAGGCGGCGGTTGAGCAGCGCCATCTGGTGGAGGGACTTCTGCAGCAGATCGAGCAGCTTTGTGTGACCTGCAGCCTTAATCACGACCGCATCAGGCAGGAGGATGTCAAGAAGCCAAAAGGTTGGTGTGGAGTATGATTCTGTATTAACGAAGGTGTGCAGTATGATTCTGTATTAACGAAGGTGTGGAGTATGATTCTGTATGAACGAAGGTGTGGAGTATGATTCTGTATTAACGAAGGTGTGGAGTATGATTCTGTATTAACGAAGGTGTGCAGTATGATTCTGTATTAACGAAGGTGTGGAGTATGATTCTGTATTAACGAAGGTGTGCAGTATGATTCTGTATTAACGAAGGTGTGGAGTATGATTCTGTATTAACGAAGGTGTGCAGTATGATTCTGTATTAAAGAAGGTGTGCAGTATGATTCTGTATTAAAGAAGGTGTGCAGTATGATTCTGTATTAAAGAAGGTGTGCAGTATGATTCTGTATTAACGAAGGTGTGGAGTATGATTCTGTATTAAAGAAGGTGTGGAGTATGATTCTGTATTAAAGAAGGTGTGCAGTATGATTCTGTATTAACGAAGGTGTGGAGTATGATTCTGTATTAACGAAGGTGTGGAGTATGATTCTGTATTAACGAAGGTGTGGAGTATGATTCTGTATTAACGAAGGTGTGGAGTGATTCTGTATTAACGAAGGTGTGGAGTATGATTCTGTATTAAAGAAGGTGTGCAGTATGATTCTGTATTAACGAAGGTATGGAGTATGATTCTGTATTAACGAAGGTGTGGAATATGATTCTGTTACAAGGAAGTATCATTTTGTTGTTGGTTGTTGGTGTAGAATATGATTCTGTATTAAAAAAGGCATGGAGTATGATTCTGTTATAAGGTAGTATGATTCTGTTATGAGGTAGATGTGAAATATGATTCTGTTACAAGGCAGTATGATTCTGTAATAAGATTGGTAATAAGTTCCTACCGGTTGTTATCCTCTGCATGAAATCAGCTTTATCATCAGCTCGTTAACAATTTTGGTCTTTTCTGCTAAATATTTTGACCAAGAGATAAAGTCACAAGATGCTCCTATGACCTTGACATTTGTGTTTCAGACAAGAATAAGACAGATCAACTTCAGCCACCTGCTGTGCCACTTCACTCTCCAACTGGCTCCATCACCAGCTACCTCAAGCCACAGGCCCACACAGTGTCATGCGGGACAGGGGTAGGTCGATATAGGGCTACCTCAAGCCACAGGCCCACACAGTGTCATGTGGAACAGGGGTAGGTCGACATAGGGCTACCTCAAGCCAGAGGCCCACACAGTGTCATGTGGAACAGGGGTAGGTCGAGTAGGGCTACCTCAAGCCACAGGCCCACACAGTGTCATGTGGAACAGGGGTAGGTCGATATAGGGCTACCTCAAGCCACAGGCCCACACAGTGTCATGTGGAACAGGGGTAGGTCGAGTAGGGCTACCTCAAGCCACAGGCCCACACAGTGTCATGTGGAACAGGGGTAGGTTGATATAGGGCTACCTCAAGCCACAGGCCCACACAGTGTCATGTGGAACAGGGGTAGGTCGATGTAGGGCTACCTCAAGCCAGAGGCCCACACAGTGTCATGTGGGACAGGGGTAGGTCGATGTAGGGCTACCTCAAGCCACAGGCCAACACAGTGTCATGTGGAACAGGGGTAGGTCAAGTAGGGCTACCTCAAGCCACAGACACACACAGTGTCATGCGGGACAGGGGTAGGTGGAGTAGGGCTACCTCAAGCCACAGACACACACAGTGTCATGCGGGACAGGGGTAGGTCGAGTAGGGCTACCTCCAGCCACAGGCCCACACAGTGTCATGTCGGAGGGGTAGGTCAAGTCAGGCTACCTCAAGCCACAGGCCCACACAGTGTCATGCAGGACAGGGGTAAGTCAGGGAGGAGAGTGAAAGGGTGGATGGGTGACTGGTGGGTCAAGTGTAGGCCAAGTGCATGGGGTGGACAGATGGAAGGGTATATTGGAGTATTGGCCATAGGAAAAGTGGATGGACAGATTTGGTAGGAAGAAAAGGTTACATGCAAGGATTTATCTAGGCCATGCCAGTTATCTGCACCAAGTCTCCAACACAGCTTTGTTTGGTATAATCTAGAGTAGATCTGTTGAAACCAAGAGTAGATCTGTTGGAACGAAGAATAAATCTGTTAAACCAAGAGTAGATCTGTTGAAACCAAGAGTATATCTGTTGAAACCAAAAGTAGATCTGGTGAAACCAAGAGTAAATATGTTGAAACCAAGAGTAGATCTGTTGAAACCAAGAGTAGATCTGGTGAAACGAAGAGTAAATCTGTTGAAACCAAGAGTAGATCTGGTGAAACCAAGAGTAGATCTGTTGAAACCAAGAGTTGATCTGTTGAAACCAAGAGTAGATCTGGTGAAACCAAGAGTTAATCTGTTGAAAGTGAGAGTAGACCTTCTGAAAGTGAGAGTAGACCTGTTGAAAGCAAGAGTAGATCTGTTGAACCCAAAGAATAGATCTGTTGAAACCAAGATTAGATCTGCTAAAACCAAGAGTATATGTTCTGAAATAAAGAGTAGATGTAGTAAAACTAAGCACATATCTACAGGCTGGTCAATTCATTTCCAGATGGATGATGATGACGATGATGCTGACGATGAAGTCATGGAGGATGACTTCAAAGCTGATGCCTCTAATCGCAACAAGTTTGGTGCCCCTGGGCGGAAGGCAACAACCATTTGGTTCCAGTCCACCCAGACAGAGAACGTCGTGGAGCCACAGTCGGGGAAGTTCGCCCAGTGGTTTCACGGCATCATATCCAGGAAGTAAGGCTTGTGCTATCACTCACACTTGAAGGGGGATTTCTTTGATCAAAACCAACTTTTCTCTGCTAACTCAAGACAATCCCCTCATGATACGATGTCTCAGTGTCACACATGACACTATTCTTGCTAGCATCAGGACCTCAGTGGGAAGTGGCCACCATGGAGCCAACTGCCACTGTTCACCTTCAAACAATGTGCCCCAAATTCACCCTGACTCTAGGTTGTAGCATCAATACCTGTGTGGACCTGCATCATTTTGGGCTTTCCTCCCACTTGAAACACTATACAAAGCATCATTAAACCATACTCACTCCTTGCCACATAATCTGCTTTCCTGGTAAGGCTAAAAAAAATAATAATCTTGGTTCTGAGGCACCGCCTCCATCATCATAATGTCTGCTGCATGTTTCGTTTTTATTTCCATTTTCAAGAAAAATAAAAAGTCCTTATACTTAAAAACAATGCAATCAAATATAGCACGCAGTTACTTCCTTTTACATGCGCACTGCTTTACTGCACATCTTGTGTTATGGTCATGGCAGCAATAGGAATTTGTATGCTTGTTTATTTAGGGAGGCCCTTTCCTAGGTTGATGGTACACAACTATTTATTTGGTTACATAGTAGTTTGAACAAGCAAAAAAAAAACACCGCCCGACCATGATATATTTTCAAAAGTCATTGCCTAAGAACCAATTCTTTTATTTTTTTAAGCCTAACATAATCTGTGTTGATGTACCGTTTCAGTAAGGTGTCATATTTCTTTCACAGGCAGTCAGAGGTTTTGTTGAAAGGGATGCCAGTTGGCTGTTACCTCATCCGAGTCAGTGAGAGCCGGTTCGGCTACACCCTGTCATTCAGGTGAGCTTCTAACATACTTGTGTGTACCTGTAACCATGGTTATGCTGACTGTGTTTCATATTGCAAGTAACCTGGTAACAAGTTGTCTGAATGTGACAGCATGACTGATATGGTCCATGGTAAAACTGTGTGGTCCAGGCACTAGGGCATTCTTCCCGCTGCCCTCACTCTCTTCACGTAAGGGGGCGGTCGGGTAGCCTAGTGGTTAAACTGTTCGCTCGTCACGCCGAAGACCTGGGTTAGATTCCTGACATGGGTACAATGTGTGAAGCCCATTGCTGGTGTCCTCTGATGTGATATTACTGAAATGTTGCTAAAAGCGGCGTAAAACCACATAAGAAGCATGGGTAGCCCAGTCGTCTACGGCGTCGCAATTCGCTGTGCAGAGTTGCATCCCCTGGGCTTCAGAAACCTTAATGGTCAAATAATCCCTGGTTATTTTTCTAGGTTTGTCAGCACCATACCCATGGTAGTGTGATAGAGGGCATCAAAATGGTAAAAGTCTAAGACCTGCCTCACTTTGGTCTTTCCTCTGACATCAAGCTGATATGCTTTGATATTACTTAGAATACTGTTAAAAGCAAAGTTAAACCCAACTCACTCACTCTTCAAATCAAGATGGTACTGGCTACAAGTGAAATCAGTAACATATTGTTTGTTGACAGAGCGGAAGACAGGTCACGCCACTATATGATTGACCAGATAAGAAATGGAAAGTTTATCATTCTTGGAGAAAGCAAAGTTCATCGGTCACTCCATGACATAATCGAGTACCATAAAACAGTGAGTACTCTTTGCCCAACAACTATTGTACATGTACATGGAAAGATGTGTGCAAGTTTGTCCTGACTGGAATTGTTACCATTATTGGCAGGAACTACATGTCTGTGTGACATTGTTTTGCATGTACACCCCATCATGTGATTTGACAGTTGCGTGAATGTGTGATAGGGGCCATGTAATTTGATGCTAGTTTAATTGGGTGTATGTAATGTATGATTGTAGTGTGACAGAGGGCCATGTGATAAGATGTTAGTTTGATGGAGGACATGTGATATGATGGTAGTGTGAAGGAGGACATGTGATAAGATGGTAGTGTGATTGAGGGCCATTTGATATGATGGTAGTGTGATAGTTGGCCATGTAATATGATGGTACTGTGATGGAGGGCAATGTGATAAGATGGTAGTGTGATGGAGGGACATATGATAAGATGGTAGTGTGATGGAGGGCCATGTGATATGATGGTAGTGTGATAGTGGGCCATGTGATAAGATGGTACTGTGATGGAGGACATGTGATAAGATGATAGTCTGATGGAGGGCATGTGATAATATGGTAGTGTATGGAGGGCCATGTGATAAGATGTTAGTTTGATGGAGGACATGTGATATGATGGTAGTGTGATGGAGGACATGTGATAAGATGGTAGTGTGATGGAGGGCCATTTGATATGATGGTAGTGTGATAGTTGGCCATGTAATATGATGGTAGTGTGATGGAGGGCAATGTGATAAGATGGTAGTGTGATGGAGGGCCATGTGATATGGTGGCAGTGTGATGGAGGGCCATGTGATATGATGGTACTGTGATGGAGGGCAAAGTAGTATGATGGTAGTGTGATGGAGGGCCATGTGATAAGATGGTAGTGTGATGGAGGGCCATGTGATATGATGATGACGGAGGCCCATATTAAACCCTGCTCATATATTGCAGCATCACATCTCCAACTGGAAGGGGCTTCTGACAGAACCATGCGGACAGGTGATTATTAAGGACGAGAACCAGTCCATTTAAAGAAATCAACAAACTTTATTATTTTCTTGTTACTTGATGTTCTGACAATGTTTCAAATTATATGGGTTGTTTCTGCATATTTTGTTTGTTTGCTTATTCAGTACTTTGAAGGTAATGTGAGACATTATATGAATTTCACTTTTGAAAATTAAGACTGCTCAAATCTAGTGAATGTTGCCAGTACCACAACAAACTAATGTCAGGATGGATTTACATGGCTAAGTTGCCATGGCAACAGATTATGAGTTTGTTCATCACTTTCCTGAACCTAAGATAGTGTACAGTGTCCTCCCTATCAGTAATTTATCATCTTCTAAAAAGATACGCATCCTTGTTGATAACATAGCTACTGATGAGTTGTTATATGCTGATATTGCTGATATATCTTGTCAGCTGAGAGAATGCAATGTGTGGAACAAGTATCCATTACTTCTTTTATCAGTTGCCTGTACTTCCATCCTTCCTTTCATGGGGGCACGGGTGGACCTGTCGTATAAGGTGCCACATTTCGCTGTGGAAGGTTGCATCCCTTGGGCATCCCTTAGAATGTGTTCTATTCTATAAAAATGATGTAAACACTTGCTTTCTTGTGATACATCTATCTGAGAGCGTTCAGTGCATGGATGCTGACTTCGTCAACATGCATTTCATTACTGAAAACTTACTAAAAGTATCGATTAAAACAAACTTGAAAGGAAACTATGGAGTAACATGCCTACCAAACAGATGATAATTGAGGCCTTATGTTAGTTTTTAGTTGGTTTAGGGGACCTACCGACAAGAAATATACCCTGAAATTAAAAAGAAAAGCATCGTTTTGACAATTAGGTGAAATGAAAAAACCCACACAAGATCACTTATGTTCAAATGAAATGTTGAATAATATGTATAAGAATCTTTATTGATTTTTTAAAAATTATCTTTCGGTGCTGTTTCGTAATCATAATTCTGTTATGTAATGACCTACCCGTTTGTTTTCCATTAATTATTAGTAGCAGTACCGGGGTACTTACCTGGTAGTTTAAACCATTTTTATTTAATTTACCTACATTGAATTTATGCATACATGAGATATGTGTTTTATTTGTATAGATAATAACATTAAGAACAAATATTGTTTCAACAAACTAAGAAGACTTTTTTTATATTTTTTGACAAAACAGCTGGTTTAGCTAATCCTAATAATATGCTTGTAAGGCAACTAATGGGATCGGGTGGTCAGGCTCTCTGACTTGGCTGATGCATGTCATTGTATCCCATTTGCGTAGATCGATGCTCATGATATCAGTCACTGGATTGTCTGGTCCAGACGTGATTATTTACAGACCGCCGTCATATAGCTGGAATATTGCTGAGTGGCGTTAAACATCAAACAAACAAACAAACAAACAAACACTCAAGTTTTATGTCATCGTAAAGGTGAGCTTCAGTACCTGTGGTACTCTGGTTATGCTATACTAAATGTTGTGTTCCCTCCCATCTTACCCACCTCCCCATCCATTCCCCCCTCTAGCTCTCCCCCTCCAACCCTGATTATGCTGTTTTACAGAGCGGTGACTGTGACTACATGGACCTCGTCGACGAGTCCAGCCGCATGTACTTCATCCTTGACCCTTCAGCCAGCACATCAGGGACATCGGTAGGTACTCTGTCAGTCACACTCCACTGGTGTCCGTCTTGAGCACTCAATAACTGATTGTAATAAATTTATCCTTACATACATTGCATATATTAATAGAGCCTAGCATTGGATACATATAGATTAATACACAAGTGTCCGTCAGATACCATTTATCTTACGAGTTGTTTCAAAATGTATCTACCGTATTCGACGTAATAAGCGCCCCACTCTAATAAGCGCCCACGGCGATATTTGCTAATATATTGGCTAGTGAACAATCCCAATTAGCATCCCTTCCGATTGATCAATGTACACAAGACTTATTTATTCGCGTATATAATACGCACTCGTGTGTTATATGCACCTTTAATTATGGGCAATTAATCATAAACATTACTGTCAGACAGCATAATTTTATAAACCACAAAATTTATCTTTCAACTCTGTTTTTTTTAACCAAAATAATATTCTAATAATAGCCCCCATTTCTAATTTTGAGAGAGACCTGGGCGCTTATTACGTCGAATACGGTAATTAACGTTGAAAGTGAGTTAGATAAGCTTTGACAAAATAAGTTGTAAGTGAGATAAATGGTATCTGAAAGGCACAACTACAGTAATCTGTTTATTACACACTCTAAAATCTCATTCTCATGATTGCAGTGGCGCATTAATACATAATATAACGGTTATGAGTGACGTCATCCACTCATAAATAATGTGACGCTACACGAAAAGGTTTTCGCCATGTCTCTGGGTTATCAAGGTGACGATGATAATGAAAGTTAGATAAGATCAAAGAACGTGCTGGAGTTAATAAATTCTCACCTAAAATATGTACAACGCTTACTCCCGTATGACATCACTCCTGGTGACCTGCTTTTACAAAATAGCATGCTCACTCACCAGACAACAGTACGCAGGATTTTTGGTTAATTGATAAATGTGTCATGTCAGCAATCAGAAACAATCAGACAATCTGTGTACTATTAGTTGGTTTTATGTTTCCTTTGTAACAAAGAGAATTACCGTATTCGACGTAATAAACGCCCAGGGCGCTCTCAAAATTACAAATAGGGGATTCTTATTAGAATAACATTTTGGTGGAAAAAAAACAGAGTTGAAAGATCGTAAATTTTGTGGTTGATGCTGACAGTCTGAAATAATACAAAAGAAAAGTCTTTGCGTATTATACACGACATATATATTTTTCCAGACTTAACTGCCCATAATTAAGGGTGCATATAACACACGAGTGTGTATTATACACGAATAAATAAGTCTTGTGCACATTAATCAATCGGAAGGGGTGCTAATGGGGATTGTTCACTAGCCAATATATTAGCAAATATCGCCGTGGGTGCTTATTAGAGCGGGGCGCTTATTACGGCAGTTACTAGTGTCTTCGTTGTGTGTGACATGGCGTCAGTCGTGGTGTCACAAGGACGGAGACTTTTACGATTTCTGTTGAATTTACCTGATCATTGTAATGTATATATAATTTTAATACAATATATTTGTGATACGTACGATACTCTTCCCATGAGAATTCTCGAATATGTGAGCCAATCTGTGCAACAATTAGACGAGTGGATCTCTCAATATAAGTGAAAATTCTACAGTGTGTAAAATCTGAATTTTGTTTTGTTTACATTACAAACAAGTAGAGTTTTCCAAGCACAGCGTTCGTTTTAACACCTAATCTATTTTACTTGATTTCATCTAGATAATTTGTATTGGTGACAAAAGACCAATTGTCGTTTGATTCTAAAATGTATGAGGAATTCATGGATGTATGTATTGCATCTGAGTTTGTAATATACATGATCTAATGGGAGCCTCATAACCGGCATAAGTGAAACGTGATTATATCCAATATGGCGGAAAGTACACTTCGGTGTTCATGTTTTTGAAATTTAATTCTTTGAATAAATATCTAATGTATTTCTAAACATACATCAAATAACGCTGTGAATGGTGATTTTGTAATGTATCAAAAATGGCGAAATTTCCGATATACCTCATTTTCAGAGGTCATTTTGTTTTGCCTAAAATGACAGTGGATATATCACAGAACAGGAAATTGCCCACAGAGTTCAAAACTGTGAAGTGGATGTTAAGCTTAAGATTATGATATGCAGAGACAGAGTGGCGCCTCAAGCCCGGGACTCCCTCCTCGGAATTACACAGTACAGCGAGAGTCAGGGCAGTCAAGAATGGCAGGGAGACCCCTCCCCCAGGTGCCCCCACAGGTGCCCCCCCAGTCCTACCAGAGGCTCATTCAGAACCAGGTACGTTGACATCTCCCTCAATACACTCCAGCTCTACTTCAGATATTAACAGGGATTGCCCCGTGAAGATCGAGGTTAGAGTTGGTCTTCAGCATCCCATGCTTGTCATAATGTGCAGCTCACAGGATCAAGTGGTCAGGCTAGCTGACTTGGTTGATGCATGTCACTGTATCCCACTTGCCTAGATTGATGCTCATGATGTTAGTCACTGGATTGCCTGGTCCAGACTTGATTATTTACAGACCGTTGTCATGTAGCTGGAATATTGCTGAGTGTGGCATTTAACAACAAACAAATAGGGAGTCAGTTGGTCATTAAGTTGTTATACATTTGTGACTTGAGCAAGATTAGAACTATTTGTAATGATCAACAGAAGCCGATTAAACTAAACCTCCATTGTCTATACTACTCACGCCATATTAACGAGGGAGCGTCATGTTGATACAATGTATTCAATTTTAGTATACACCTAAATTGTATCTCTTTATTATTCCATGGTTTTGCACTAGATTTTCTTGTAAAATAGGCCAGGCTTTTTTTATTTTTAGGATTACGGATTTTTCAGCCCAAAGTCCAGGGTTAGAGGAGGGGAAAAAAAATAAAATAAAGCCAGATGAATTTTTTAAAATGCAGAACCCCTCTGGCATACTTTATGAACATATTCTGTGCTCAAAAGGCCGCCATTTGTGACGATAAGGCTCCTTGTAACAATTAAAATTCTACCACTTACAACATGGACAATTGTCAAGGGAGGCTATTCATGTTTGGCTTTGAGATCAACAAAGATCAATTATGTATCTCTTTACTAGTTTACAACGGTAAATTCATATGTTTTTTACTAAAAGGTGATGATAACATTTAAAATAATTTAACTGACTACGGAAATGGAAATCTGATATATTTTTTTAATTTTCTCAAAAATTAGAGTTGGCGGGTCCGTATTCCGAAAAATATACAACGCCTGGCCTTATATATGTACTTATTTTAGTTCTCTTGCAGCATGAATACAAAGAAAGTTCTATTTTGAGTCATAAGGGCTCATGACGCAAGCTTTGTAAATTGATTGTTACCTCCTGAATACATTACACAGTACTGTCTCACGGCATGAGATGTAATAATTACTCAGAACCATGATATACCATATTGTTACCCTACTTTGAGAATACAATATTGTGAAGTTACCCCCAAATACTTGATACAATAGAGTACTTGATACAGTACTGTACATTGAGGTTATTGGCCAAATGTACATTCGTATCATAAATATATATCAGGATATACACTGTATTATATGAGCCTGTGTTGATACTTGATACAATGTTATTACTTGATGTAATATTGTACTGTTGACCCTCTAGTACATGATACAATGTTGTTTCATTACTTCCCAGTACGATGATACAATGTTGTATGGTTACCCCCTTGTACTTGATACAACATTGTATTGTTATCCCGTAGTACATGACAGAAAAAAATGCGGGGAGGAATAGGTCTTCAGCAACCTATGCTTGCCATAAAAGACGACTATGCTTGTTCTAAGAGGCGACTGAAGGGATTGGGTGGTCAGGCTAGCTGACATGGTCAGTGTATCCCAATTGCGTGGATAGATGCTCATGATGTCAATCACTGGATTGTCTGGTCCAGACTCGATTATTTACAGACTTCTGTGATATAGCTGGAATATTGCTGAGTGCAGCATTAAACAACAAACAAACAAACAAACCTGACAGAAAAGGGTATGCAATGCTCTCCTTACTTTTAGCAGGAACATTTGGGAGAGTGAGAGGTGAGGAGATATTCCAGACTCATTTAGTGCCACTATAAACTTTGCTAACATCATCCTTCAGGCTGAACAATGCTAATTCACAAAGGGACTCTAACAGCTTCATCTCACAACAAACATTCACAACACTCAGTATTTCAAATGACTGTTCCCTGTGACGACTGCAGGTTAGAATAGGACCCCAGCAACCTGTGCTTCTTGTAAGAGGTGCCGAATGGATCAGGCGGTCCGGCACTACATCTTGGTTGTGAACCCGGTTAGAATAGGTCCCCGGCAACATGTGCTTGTCTCCCTGTGGGAACTGGGTTAGAATAGGTCCCAGGGATCTTGTGCTTGTCTCCCTGTGGAAACTGGGTTAAAATAGGTGCTTAGCAACTTGTGCTTGTCTCCCTGTGGGAACTGGGTTGGAATAGGTCCCTAGCAACTTGTGCTTGTCTCCCTGTGGGAACTGGGTTAGAATAGGTCCCGGGCAACTTGTGCTTGTCTCCCTGTTGGAACTGGGTTGGAATAGGACCCTAGCAACTTGTGCTTGTCTCCCTGTGGGAACTGGGTTGGAAAAGGTCCCTGGCCAGCAACTTTTGCTTGTCTCCCTGTGGGAAACTGTGTTAGAATAGGTCCCCAGCAACTTGTGCTTGTCTGCCTGTGGAAACTGGGTTGGAATAGGTCCCTAGCAACTTGTGCTTGTCTCCCTGTGGGAACTGGGTTGGAATAGGCCCCTAGCAACTTGTGCTTGTCTCCCTGTGGAAACTGGGTTAGAATAGGTCCCCAGCAGCCTGTGCTTGTCTCCCTGTGGAAACTGGGTTAGAATAGGTCCCCAGGATCTTGTGCTTGTCTCCCTGAGGGAAAATGGGTTAGAATAGGTCCCCAGCAGCATGTGCTTGTCTCCCTGTGGGAACTGGGTTAGAATAGGTCCCCAGAAACTTTTGCTTCTCTCCCTGTGGGAAACTGGGTTAGAATAGGTCCCCAGAAACTTGTGCTTGTCTCCCTGTGGGAAACTGGGTTAGAATAGGTCCTCAGCAGCATGTGCTTGTCTCCCTGTGGAAACTGGGTTAGAATAGGTCCCCAGCAGCATGTGATTGTCTGCCTGTGGAAATTGGGTTAGAATAGGTCCCCAGCAGCCTGTGCTTGTCTCCCTGTGGGAAACTGGGTTAGAATAGGTCCCTAGCAGCCTGTGCTTGTCTCCCTGTGGTAACTGGGTTAGAATAGGTCCCTTGCAACTTGTGCTTGTCTCCCTGTGGGAAACTGGGTTAGAATAGGTCCCTAGCAACTTGTGCTTGTCTCCCTGTGGGAACTGGGTTAGAATAGGTCCCTTGCAACATGTGCTTGTCTCCCTGTGGGAAACTGGGTTGGAATAGGTCCCCGGCAACTTGTGCTTGTCTCCCTGTGGGAAACTGGGTTGGAATAGGTCCCTAACAACTTGTGCTTGTCTCCCTGTGGGACACTGGGTTAGAATAGGTTCCCGGCCAGCAACTTGTGCTTGTCTCCCTGTGGGAAACTGAGGTTAGAATAGGTCCCAAGCAACTTTTGCTTGTCTCCCTGTGGGAACTGGGTTAGAATAGGTCCCCAGAAACTTGTGCTTGTCTGCCTGTGGGACACTGGGTTAGAATAGGTCCCCAGCAACATGTGCTTGTCTCCCTATAGGAAACTGGGTTGGAATAGATCCCCAGCAACTTGTGCTTGTCTCCCTGTGGTAAACTTGGTTAGAATAGGTCCCCAGCAGCCTGTGCTTGTGTCACTGTGGGAACTGGGATAGAATAGGTCCCCAGCAGCCTGTGCTTGTCTCCCTGTGGGAAAATGGGTTAGAATAGGTCCCCAGCAGCCTGTGCTTGTCTCCCTGTGGGAAACTGGGATAGAATAGGTCCCCAGCAACCTGCGCTTTTCTCCCTGTGGGAAACTGTGTTAGAATAGGTCCCCAGCAGCCTGTGCTTGTGTCACTGTGGGAAAATGGGTTAGAATAGGTCCCCAGCAGCATGTGCTTGTCTCCCTGTGGGAACTGGGATAGAATAGGTCCCCAGCAGCCTGTGCTTGTCTCCCTGTGGGAAAATGGGTTAGAATAGGTCCCCAGCAGCCTGTGCTTGTCTCCCTGTGGGAAACTGGGTTAGAATAGGTCCCCAGCAACCTGCGCTAATCTCCCTGTGGGAAACTGGGATAGAATAGGTCCCCTGCAACTTGTGCTTGTCTCCCTGTGGGAAACTGGATTGGAATAGGTCCCCCGCAACTTGTGCTTGTCTCCCTGTGGGAAACTGGATTAGAATAGGTCCCCAGTAACTTGTGCTTGTCTCCCTGTGGGAAACTGGGTTAGAATAGGTCCCCAGCAGCATGTGCTTGTCTCCCTGTGGGAAACTGGGTTAGAATAGGTCCCCCGCAACTTGTGCTTGTGTCCCTGTGGCAAACTGAATTAGAATAGGTCCCCTAGGTTTTAGTGTTAGTAGTGTTAGTGTAAGTAGGCTTTTACTTTTATAATGAACTAATTTATGAAGAAATATCATAGATATAATCATTCATGTTATGAGCCCTTAATTACCTAACTCATTAGTAGCAATGTTGTAAAATACCGCTGACATGTGACAATATAAAATATGGCACCCACACTTGCTGACATGTGACAATATAAAATAAGGCATCCACAGCTGCTGACATGTGACAATGTGAAATAAGGCATCCACACCTGCTGACATGTGACAATGTAAAATAAGGCATCCACACCTTCTGACATGTGACAATGTTGTAAATTAAAGTACACACACCTGCTGACATGTGACAATGTAAAATAAGGCATCCACACCTGCTGACATGTGACAATGTAAAATAAGGCATCTACACCTGCACATGCTCACATATCTAACCTGTACTTATAATCACCATGATACACGTTATTAGAACACTTTAGTCTTTTATAAGCATTACTCTCTGAAACTAACAACATACATAGCCAATTTTGTTCTCAGTTATTTAAATTGCAATAGTTTAGGACAACGCATAATGTATGCATATGTTTCAGAGGAGATGAAAATGTAGATGTGTGAGTTAATTGTAGCTTGTCATCAGACTGCCATTCCACATGTTTACATGGATAAAACTGTTGTTGTGTTGTTGTTATACCATGTGCTGGTTAAGGTAGGTTACTAGTGGTAGCCTTGCATCTCCTGCCAAACATGCCATTATTGTGTCTGTTTCCATGGTTACAGGTGGTCTGACTAAATACTGTTTCCATGGTTACGTGTGATCTGACTAAATAGTTCCCATGGTTACAGGTAGTCTGACAAAGCGCTGTTTCCATGGTTACAGGTGGTCTGAGGAAACGCTGTTTCCATGGTTACAGGTGGGCTGAGGAAACACTGTTCCCATGGTTACAGGTGGTCTGACAAAACACTGTTTCTGTATGCAGGAAGAGCAGCACAAGTACAACCCTCTACAGCAGACCTCGGGGTCACGGGTACGACTTTCGACCACCAGGAACAGACTTCACTAGCAGCAGGACATCCTCTCTCTTTCCATCCTGCAGATATACTGCTAACACCCCATATGCCTAGGATTTATACAGATATACTGATATCACCCCCATATGCCTCGGATTTATACAGATATACTGATATCACCTCATATCCATCGGACTCTACATCATTATGCTTGATAACATCTGATACAAAGTTGTACTGATATAAAGGTTCTACTTATATTTCATATTCATCATCAATCAAATATTCTGATGCAGCATTAAACAACAACTCGAGTGACTCACTCACTCTGTATGTATAGTTAACCACTACCCCACTGCTTTGTTTGGTCCAGATTGGATTGATTACAAAGCCTTCTTGACAAAGCTGGAATTGTGGCCTCACATTCAGTTACTAGAATCCATCAACTTAAATTTTTTTCAAAACTGATCTGGTGTAGTATTGTACAGTACGCTGCAGAGCTAAGCTCCCTCCAACAGAGCTGGAACTCTGATACAGCATGGAATCTCTTTCATTCATGCACAATAGCAGTTGGTTTTGTCAAGCTGCCATTTAATTGCATTGCCGCATGTACAATAACTGTATTCAATAGATTGATCAAGGATTTTTAAAAAGGGGAAGAACAAAACATATGGACGGAATTAAGTTGAATTATAACTCTGGATCTGTCATTGTCTGTATTATAGATGTACTATGTGAATCCCTGTACTTACTTGATTTCACAATCCCCCTTTACCACATTTGTGCTTTATATCTGTTTCGTTAAAATATTTAAATGTTTAAATGTTTGTTTCCTTGTTACATGTTTTCAACCCAGAGATGGCTTCCATAAAATATATATCCTAGCAGACAATAATACAATAAAGGATAAATAATAAATGATTTTGATTTTAATTTTTGCTGCCATGTCAGGGTTTAGAGAAGACCTCTTGCTGGTCACAGAGGCACCATAATGGATTGGTGGTCAGGCTCGTGATTTAGATGATTGCGTGTCATAGTACCTGATGGCTGAATGGTTGCTCATGACATCAACCACTGGTTTGTCTGGTCCAGAATCTATTATTTACAGGCTGCCATCATATTTTGATTTTAATTATTGCTAGTCTTTTTTCTAATTCTAGATCAGGCTGCCATTTCAGGGTTAAGAGAAGACCAGAAACCTATGCTGGTCACAGAGGCAACATAATGGATTGGCGGTCAGGCTCGTTATTTAGATGATTGCGTGTCGTGGTACCTGATGGCTGAATTGTTGCTCATGACATCAACCACTGGTTTGTCTGGTCCAGAATCAATTATTTACAGGCTGCCATCATATTACTGGAATGTAAGGGTATTAAACAGCAAACAAACAATCAATTACAACTTTTACTGACAGACGATTTCATGACAATAGATGCTTCTTTTTATCAAACATACATAGAGATTTAATAAGCGTGCTATCAGTTGTTTTTTGTTTGAAAATAGAGAATGGAGAATATCGAATTTGAAATCCATGTCAAGTTAGTGCCCAATTATTGATGTGTTTGTTTGTTTGTTTGATTGTTGTTTGTTACCCCAACTCCCTTGAGAACATTAACACATCCATATAACCATATCAGAGTCTGGGCCAGACAAGCCAGTGATTGACATCATTAGCATTGATCCACATAGCTGTGATAAGATGACATGCAATCAACCAAGTCAGGGAGCCTTGCCACCGAATCCATTTAGTTGGCTCTTAGGAAGGGTACCGTATTCGACGTAATAAGCACCCAGGGCGCTTTCAAAATAAGAAATAAGGGGCTCGTTTTGATCGTTTCTTCTGACAGCCTGAAATTATACAAAAGAAAATTCTGTTTGTATTATACACGACAGATATAATTTACAGAATTTAATTGCCCGTAATTAAGGATGCATATAACACAAGTGCGTATTATACACGAATAAATGTACACGAATTGTGTACATTGATCAGTCGGAAGGGTGCTATTTTCGATTGTTCACTAGCCAATATATTGGCAAATATCGCCATGGGCGCTTATTATAGCGGGGCGCTTATTACTTCGAATACGGTATGTCATGGATATGACAATATCGCATGGTAATGGGCAGAGACAAGTTCAGCATTTTGTGTCCCTTTTCCATGTACATACTTCTATACATTATACATACATATACACACATACCATATAGAGAGAGAACGTGTATGTGCCAGACTGTTTGAATCTGTTCCCGTTTTCCTGGTAAAAATCTGTTTTTTACCTGTAAAATTAGGCATGGACCGGTAATTCATGTGGTTGCCAGTCCCTGTGGACCGGGAAATAAAGTATCGTATAATCTTTGTTGTTGACAAAAACATTGGCAATATTCATATAAGTATATTTTTTAACGAAGCCATCATGTTTGTTACCATCAGGGTTTCTACTTGTCTATTCATAGTGCAATGAAATAACATTTTGCTTTCCTTCAAGGTTAAATATATATATTTGTAGCGACTTAGTCTCAAAATATTTAGAATTAAAAGAGAAAATTGTGACTGAACTTTGTGTGAATGACTAGAGATCTAACTAAGTTACTTTGGAGATGACGTCATTGCAATGCAGTGTTTAATTTGTTGAAAGTTGGGACTGACAAATATTGGAATGCACTGGTAATTTTTGGAGTTGCCAGTCTACTAGGACTGGTAGTTTCAAAAGCCAGCAGTTACACTGGATATATGAAGATGTTTTATTATTATTTAATTGGTTACCACAAGCACACGATTTTGAGAATTTCCTAATGCGAAGCCTGTCAACTAATTTAGTCATGAAAAAATGCAAAGTGTCGGAATGGAAGTTACACTTTGATTTCCATTGCAATAAAACACTTTCTTTGATTTCACTTTTTCTTTATTTCATCTGACCAACAATACCTTAAGAAACCAACTATTTCTAAAACATGTTTTTAAGCTTGTACCGCTTACCATGTTTAGGTGAAAAAGTTTACAAACCAAGGAATTAAAAAAAGCGCAAGTGAATGTATGTGTATGTGCTAAGATTTGATGTGATTATAAATCATTTTCTAATGAATTGATTACAATATTTCATATGCCATGTAAAAACTAACACTGTGCTCAAACATTCCATCATTCATGTATTGGCAGATTAAACATGAAAAATAAATATTAACTTCATCAATTTCTTTTTTGTCTTGTTTGTAGAACAGATAAAACAGTTTCAATGATGTGCAGATGTGATATTGCTGTAGAAAAGTGAGCTCACTGGACAATGATGCAGAGTAGGCTGTGACAGCTGTCTGGAGTATTCAAGCATTTGGGCCCCGTTCCTCAAAGCGATCTTAGCCCTAAGGTGATCGTAAGTCCCATACTTTAACATAGGCTTACGATCATTGTAGCGCTAAGATCGCTTTGAGCAACAGGGCCCAGGACCTAGCCTCAGTGGGGTATCAGTTGGGCAGGAAATGTTAGAATACATTACTTTCCTTGATTAACTTACGTATCATGCAAAACTGGCTCCCACAGGAGATATGGTTTGAAATTGCATCACAATGCTTTGCAGACTAACGTGAGCTCATTGGTTACCATGACGTCACAATCAAATGACATCACTAATGGCTCTGCTACTGAAGCTGTTAGCAGCACTTTTCACACTTAGACACTGCATATTACTGTCTACAAAGGGAAAAAGTTGGAAGAATGATGTTGGATGATAAATTGAATCTCCCCCTTTTGATATCAAATATATCCACACGAGTCAATAAAAGTTTAAAACTCCAAGGCTTGTTTATCAAAAGACATGTGGGTGATATTCTTTATTTATATACACACATGGATGTAAAAATATCTTTATTTTCTATCATTAACATATAATTGCAGTTATAGAGCTAGTGTTGTGAAACAAGATGTCAACAATGATAAAGTGGGGCGCTACAACTGAGCATTGACTGATGCAGCAGGACGCCATTACGTCAGCAGTGCCATAATGATGTAAAAATGATGTCTGAATTACATCAGCAATCGTGTCTGTGTCAACAATGGTGTCTGCATTGCTTCAACAAGGGTGTCTGTTTAATGTCAACAATGGCATCTGCATTACGTCAACAAGAGTCTACGTCAACAAGGATGTCATCATTGGCTAAAAAAAATACTAGTCTTGGTTCTCAAGCATCGACCGCATCATCAGTCTGCCACACATTTTGTTTTTATTTCCATTTTTTCATTTAAGGTACAAAAATCCTTATACTTAATACAATGCGATCTAATATAGCAAACAGTAATCCCTTTACATGTGCCTTGCTTTACTGCACATCTCGTTTATGTAGGGAGGCCCTTTCCCATTCTTCAAAAAAAGAAACTCACAGGTAGATTTTTAGTAAATTTATTGTACCTAATAAACTCGATATATTTGATTTAATATCATAGATAGGAATATGAAATTTTGGAGCCCGATAGTCACATGTTGTCGTTGTACAAAGGCATTGAAAAATGTTTATTGTCATGTCACATAAGGCCACAAGGTTTCGCTGAACTCAGTATTTCGTGTGACCGTCCTAGGCAGCAATCACGGCTCTGCATCTCCTCGGTACTGACTGGATAAGTGTACGAATACTGTCCTGCGGAATTCTGCGCCTCTCTGCTTGTAACGCGTTGGCCAGTTGTGGAAGTGTCTGCAGCGTGTTCGGACTTTGGTGTTCAAGTTCATCCCAGAGGAATTTGATTGGGTTGAGATCTGGAGATCTCGATGGCCAGGGCAAATTGTTGATGTTGGCATTATGTAGGTGGTCTACCGTGACACGAGCTGTGTGCGATGGAGCGTTGTACTGTTGAAACAGCTCCCTCTGGTGGTGAATGATTAGAAGAAGGTGAGGTTGAAGACACACCATGACACAACCACCACCGAAATTGTCGAATTCACCTACACAATGTGGGGCAAAACGCTCATTTCGACAACGATTAACACGTTGTCTTCCATCTCGCCGGTGAAGAAGAAATCGTGATTCATCGCTAAACGACACTCGTCTCCAGTTCGACGGATGTATTACAAAACGGGGACGGATTCCAGCCTCGCGAAGATGGTTCCTGACAGTCTGGTCCGATATCCTCCTCAAACCAGGGATGCGTCCTGCAGTCTCCGTAGCTGTGGCATTGCGATGACGTAGATGGAACAGTCGAATGCAGCGATCCTGTGCAGGGGTGGTAACTCTTGGTCGGCCGGTTCTCAATAATTGAACTGTGTGTATCGGCAGAGACCATATAATAGAGGGACGGCCCTCCCCAACAGTTTATCATAAACCATCAGCGCTACGGTCTGGCATGTAACTGATACACCCCGACACCCTGCTGTTAACCTCCCTGTACCGCTGCAGATGCGCAATAGATGCGCAGACATTCACGACTGACCATTCTGGTAACCACGTAAACAATATTATATAATATCCGGGGTAAGAGTGAATTCCCTTATCCGCGATTTCTCCGACTACGACCAGCGACAATCCAATAAAAGGACGTCTCTTAGCGGATTACAAAGGAGTTTGTACTCCAAGCTAGCAACACCTCTCCAGCCTACGAAGCAACCCAAGCCATCCAGCCACCAAGCCAACCTCACCCAGCAAAGCCTCCCAAGCCAGCACAGTTCCACTGATAGCCAGCCCAAGAGCAACACATCGGTAATTATCACAACACACCCATACAATCTAGGTTAAAACCACTCACACACAAGCCCACTTAAAACACCAAACCCTCAAACCCTCTAGTTACTACCAAAACACACCCTTTCAAACTTAGGCCAAAGGTAACTCACCCCAAGCCCACTTAAAACACCAACTCTCCAAAATCTCCTAGCTAAACAAACTAACTCACCAGCCAAAACCCAAATAGCGTAGAAGCCAGCCAAACACTACTCACCCAGTCACCCACTCTACACACAAAGCCCCCTCTTAAGCCCAGCTCACTCTCCTCCCCCAAACCAAAACCTACAAACCTACAACAGCTACACTACCACAGACATGACCGACACACGCATTATCACCCAGGCAGACATCCACTGCACAGACACACCCACACCATCGGAGGCCCACAACACCTCCGATCGGACACCTGAAACCCTCATCCCGCACGAATTCGGAAAGCAAACCAGTCGCTTCTCCCACCAAAACTCCGGATTCGCCTGCAACCACAACAAACCCAAAGAAACGGAAGATAAATGCTTCAAACACAACACCTGCATCACCTTCCACCCCCGCATCTATAGTCACCTTCGCCCTCTACTTCTGCGCGGCTGGCCCCATAAACATCCTAAGTAAGGTACTCTCCGCCAATAAAGTAGGATCATTCTTTAAAAAACAACAAATACTCTTCGATAAAATCAGGGAAGCCCACAAAGGATTTCAGATCATCTTTCCGGACCAACAATCACTTAACGCAGCCAAAAAAATAACGGAAATATTTCAATACACAGTAACCCACCAAACCCCAAACTGGCAACTATACACTAGAGGAGTAATTAGAGTAAACCCTAGAGAGTCAGAGGAGGACCTAGAATTCTACAGTAACGAAGCAAATCTAAACACAGGCTCCTTCCCCCAACCTAAAATAACCAGCACTAAAAGAATTACATCAAATAGGAACGGTAGAATAACCAACACGCCGATAGTCATCATAAACTTCCAAAAATCAGAAACGTATCCAGAAGCCCCTAAACACATCTCCTTCGGAGCGTCATCTAAATTAGAAGTTAAACCCTATATCAAACAAGTCAAACAGTGCACAAACTGCCTCCAATACAATCACACCGCTAACGGATGTAAATATCAAAAAACTAAATGTAGAAACTGCGCTCAACCTCAATGTCTAGGGCCATGCGCCCCCTGGTGCATTCACTGCAAAACAAACACCCACTCCTCACTATCCAACAAATGCCCCCACAAACACACACTCACCCAACAGGCCAACCGACACATAAACATCGACTCGGCCAAACTACAAACACGAAAACTGACACAGCATCCAAGAACACCCCTACTACCCACACCACAACCAAACAACCAACCACACCTACAGAGCCCGTACGACGGCGTCCTCATGCCAACACCACAAGCATCAGCCACAAACACCCAAACCCAACACTACCCGCCAACATTCGCCACACCCAAACCAGTCGCCGCATCCACACCCGCACCTAAACCAAAACTCACTAAACCTACCATATCTCACCCCAACACCATACAATCTACAGCCACCAGGGCAACAACAACCACACACGAGCAAGCAACACACGAAAAACTAAACATTACTAAACCCATTGAAATACCCAGTACACCTACTCCAACACAACCAAACACCCACACAACTCCCATGGATAGTGAGGAAACCAATCTAATTAACCTAGATGACTCCCAAACCACAACTGATCAAAACATAAATGATAAAACATTTTCAGCCCCCAAAACCCTGAAAAATCGCAAACGCAAACCCCAAACTCAACCTGAACCCGAAACTTTAACCACCAAACTAAATAGCTTCACACTCCTACTAGTATACATGCTTAAAGAAATCAAACCAGACCTTAAAGCCACTAACCTACACCAGGTAGCACATAGACTAAATCTAACTACCCAAACCTACCAAGAATTCTACGATAGTTACAACCTAGCAATCGCAGGACTATAAACCAAAAACCAAACCAAAATCGTAATCTCCAAACACTAAAAGCCCACATAATGACAGGCCTAAATATCTTTCAGTGGAATGCGGCCGGGCTTAACTCCCACAGCCACGAATTAAAAGCTAGATTTAAACTAAAACAAGGACCACACATAGCGTGCATCCAGGAAACTAAATTCTCCAATAAATCCAAATTTCACCTACCAAACTACAACATAGTCAGACATGATCGACCCAAAACCAAAATAATAAGAGCATCAGGTGGCCTACTAATACTAATTAGAGAAGACATAAGCTACGAGGAAATCAAAATAAACACCCCAAACCTAGAAGCCAATGGTATCCAAATCACCCTTAAAAACCAAAAAATAAACATCATAAACATCTACCACTGGCAACAACAGAAAATCCAACCGGAGGATCTAAACATACTCACAAAGATAGGCAACAAATCTACCATCTTTCTAGGAGACTTCAACGCCCACCACCCTTCCTGGGGCACGGGAGATAAACTAG